CCATCCTGGTTCTCAGATCTGTCAGTGGGTATAATAAACTGGTGTAGCTTGGATCATATCAGGTTACAATAACTGCCAGTATAAGTATGGGTCTCCAGACCTGACCCATACTTATACTGGCAGTTATTGTAACCTGATATGATCTGGATGCTCCTAGCCTTGGTTCTTGCACTCACCTGCAGGAACTGCATCCTGATAAATGAGTTCCCCTAGCTCCTCTATCATATCTCCTGCCAATAGCAGATCTTGCACATACTGGTTGGTCCTTGGCCAGACTGACTTAGTCCACCTCCTGTCTTGGCAGGAACAGTGGTCTTGCCCAAGTGGCCCACACCCTTTCTGGTTCTTACTGTTGGGTGCTATAGCCCAGCTGTACCTGGCCCATGGCCAGACACAGCTTTCATGTGGTCCAGCGGCTGCTAAGACCTAGCCCAGCCCATCCTATACACATCCTGGCTCTTCTGAGCACTAGTGGACACTGGGGTCTAGCCCAGTCTGGTGCATCCCAGATCCAGTCCACACCTATACCGAGGGATACCACAGTCCAGCTCAGATTGCTGCCCCCATTCTGGTTCTTGCACTCACCAGTGAAAACCACAACCCCACTGTGGGGTCTCCTTTACTCCCCTACCAGACCTGTTCCTGGTCACAAATCTTGCACATGCCAGTGGTTGCTCTGACCCAGCTCAGCATAGCCCATCTGCCATTTTGGCCTTTGCCATTGGATGCTGCAGTCTGAGCTGTCTTGGCCTACCTCCAGTCCCAACTCTCACTGGTGGGTATTGCAGCCTAGCCTGTACCTACTGCTCCTGTCCCTGGCTCATGCAGACCAGTAGAAGTGATAGCCTACCTCTACATGACTCATACAATAGCCTGGCTCCTGCACATGCCAGGAAGTTAAGGTTAGTCTGGCCTTGCCTGGCATAACCCTCTTCAATACCAGCCCACACTCTTGCCAACAAGTAGAACTACCTTGCCCGGCCTGAACAACACCCAGGCCCAAATCATATGCCCACCATGGAATTTCCCCAAGTTACCCTACCAGGCCTACTCCCAGAACAGATCTGACATGTGCTAGTGAGTAGTAGGCTCTTACCCAGCATAAGCTGCCCATTCTGTACCCATCTTTGTATGAGCTGGTGGATATTGTGCTCCAGCCCACCCAACACCCTATTCTTGGGTATGTCTGAGGGTACTACAGCCTGGATCTACCTGGCATTTTCCCAACCCTAGAACCTGTGAGTATTGCAGGGTTCTTATAGTCATACCTAGCTGAGACTGTCACCATTCCCCGATCTTAAGCAAACCAGCGGAAATTGCAGTTCCACAGGGGTGGACCCACATCCCCCATAGAATCTGCTCCTGGGTCTGGTTCTCTCACATGCTTGTTAGTGTCACGGCCCAGCCTAACATTACCAGTCCTCTCCTCTGACACTGGCAGGTGCTGGGACCTAGCCCTGCCAGGCAGGCCCCGAGCCCTAGCTTTAGTATGCTCCGGTGAATGGTGGTGGTCTGTATATTATACAAGAATGGGTAGAAAGGAAGAATGTGGAAGGAGAGATGGTTGAGAGAGTAATAGGAATTGGATCATAACTAAAGGATGTACAAAAGTAAGGGAGATGGGCCCAGCGGCGTGGCCTAGCAGCTCAAGTCCTCGCCTTGTACACGCTGGGATCCCATATGGGTGCCGATTCTAATCCCGGCAGCTCTACTGCCCATCCAGCTCCCTGCTTGTGGCCTAGGAAAGCAGTCAAGGACGGCCCAAAGCTTTGAGACCCTGCACCCACGTGGGATACCCAGAAGAAGTTCCTGGATCCTGGCTTTGGATTGGCATAGCATCGGCCATTGTGCTCACTTGGGGAGTGACTCATCAGACGGAAGATCTTCCTCTCTGTCTCCTCCTCTCTGTATATCTGATTTTCCAATAAATAAATAAATCTTTAAAAAAAAAAAAAAGAAAGGGAGATGCCCAGTAAAATAAGGAAGTACCCAATAAAAACACAACAATGAGAATAAGTTAAAGGGACACAGTAGCAAACTGAAAGAGCTCCCATTGATCAACCCTGGAATCAATTCAGGAAGAAAATTAATGAAATACCTTTGGGTCATAATCTAAGACTAGAAAGGGGATGAAGGAGCTTATTTACAGTTTTCAGTCTTTATAAACTAGAATGGATAGATCTTTGTTTAGTATCCATGAGAGGACAGTCTGAAAATTCTTTAGTGATCCTCTTTTCCCTTGCCATTGTTAGTGGGTTCAAGAAAAAGATTTCCTAGGAGTCTGGAGTTATTCCTTTATCTCACTCTATTGCTTTTGGCAGATGACTAATTTTGAGCTGGCGTAACTCTGGAGGTGCTCATGTCCTTAAATGTGAAATGGTGCAATATTTGTATAATTTATTCAATTGTTTTGTAAATTTTTACTTTTTTAGATTTTAGTATCTAACATAGATGTTATATCTAAGTTTTAAGGAAATAATGACCAAAAAGGAGTCTGTACATATTCAGTACAAATACAACTTTTTATTTGAAAGATACTGTTACAGAGACAGACATGGATATCTTCCACCTGTTATATGTTCTTTGTTGAATCTGAGGATATAAAACCTGTCAATATGGAAACAGATCTATCTCCTCTCCTCACTGCCCTCTCCTGGGCAGGGCACCTATATGTTTAGTTCATAGTGCAAGATGATGGCATCCTAATACACGGTAGATACTCAGGAGAAATGTACTGTGAAAGGTCTGTTTTTCAGCTAACATGCACAGAGGAAGTCCCCTGCTTAGCCCTTCCCCTGCTTTTTCCTTCATTCACTAAGAACTAAACAAAGCTAAAGCTTAAGGACTGACAAATCAGTTTCAGGCTAGACAGACAATGTGAATGAATGAATGGACTGAATACCTTTACTCTAGCATGAGAAATTACAGTGACAAGGAGCTGAAGAAAGGAGAAAACACACTCCATTTAGAGCAGTACTCCCCCTCAAGTCAGTGTTATTTGGTGGCAGTATGCATTCTGTGTCTCTAGATCTTCTATTTTCAAAGGAATCTAGAAATACAAATATGCCAGATCTCTTGTTTTAATTCTTGGCCATTAAGCTAAATTTAATTGCAGGTCAACCAAAGAATATGCCCACAGGTTATGGCCTCTGAGTAAAAGGACTGTGGGACTTTGGAATCACTGCTGTAGGAGAACAGAGAATTGGCAAGCAAGAGGTGGGTGGGGGCTGGTGGGTGGTTTTGGGTGGGGTGCAATTAGAGGGGAGGATAGAGGGAAGAAGAGCTAGAATCACAGAGGACAAAGGAGCTCTCCTGAGCTTCCATCTCAGAGGTCACAGAGGAGCTGCGTTAGAATACAGGACCGGAATCCTAAGTGAAGGAATGTTAAGTGTGTGTGTGTGCTCAGGCAGCTGAAAAATAAAACAGCCCCACATGGTGACGGATGTACTGCTGGATTCCTATATTTGAACTTTAACAACCGAAGTTGTTCCTTTTACTTTGCAAAATACAGTTTATGATTTGATCCTCAATTTAATCTTGCATAAAAGGTATAATGCAGCTATGTAAATAAGACAGCATAGAATTTTTCTTAAAAAAGCATTTTTTTTTTTGCAGAAGTATTTCTGCACCTAGTAGGTTCCTCTTGCTAGAAAAAGGAGAGGTAGTAATAAATTTGTTAAGGAAATTTAAAAATGAATAGCGATAACAATGTACTTCTTGGAAATATTAATGAAATTGTAATGGCTGTCATAATAGAAAAGGAATAGATTAATCTTCGCAAAGGTAAAATTAATTTGGAAGTGAAATAGATAAGCTATGAATGTCAAATTTTAAAAATTAGAATCAGCACTCTACTACATGCATTCTTTTGATAGTCAATTATAAAATTAAATATTGTGCACTTGATATATACAAGTTGAACATCCCTAATTTGAAAACCTGGAAGTTGAAATGTTCCCAAATCCAAAACCTTTTGAGCATTGACAGGATACCACAAATGGGAAATTCCACATCATGAAACTGGTTCTGTACAAAATTAATTAAAATATTGTATAAAGTCGTCTTTAGGCTATGTGTGCAGGGTGTATGTGAAATATAAATGAATTTTGTTTTCCACCTGGGTTCCATCCCCAAGATACTGTATTATGTATATGCAAATAGTTCAAGTTTTTTTAATTTAAAAATTAAGACACTTGTGGCTCGAAGTATTTTGGAGAAGTAATATTCAGTCTGTATTAGTTATTCAACAAACATTAGTTGAATATTATTACTTTCTAACAGTAATTTTTATCAGTAATAATATTTCTGTAATTCAGATAAAAATTTGTAAGAGTGCTATTCTGGGGGTTCTTATTAAAGTCTGTTTTTCCACAGGCTCTCAGCAGCAGAAGGGAGCAGTGTTGTGTTCTAAGTTGACTCCAACTGAATTGTTCAGAGAAAATCACCTGGGCCCTGCCTCTGCCTGTAATCCCTGCTGATGGTGAGGTGGTCATTATCCTTGTTCTTCTATTGCTCTGATTCTAAGTCACAGGAATCTCCATCATCTTCAGCTGATAAACCTTTCCTTCTTTTATGTTTCTCTGGCTCGGAAGAATGTACAAGGTGCTTTATGTGTTTCCCATTCAGAGCTGAAGAAAGGATCTGGACTGTGGAATAGTAGAAAGCTTTGCTCTAGTGAGTGGTCTGCTGAGCTCTTTGTTTCAGGTCCTTCTGCTTTGCAAAGCTCCTTTCTCCCACTGGGATGTTATTAGGACATAGCCAGGCTAGAAGGGCTGCGAGAAGTTTTGGAGGTGGGAGAACAGGATCCAGGAGAGGTTGCAGTAAGAAGGGAATTCTTTTTATTGAACTCCATAGTCTAAAAACAGCCCTGAGTTGGTTCCCGATAGAAACCAAGGGTGAGCTTTCTGCTTTGGTCCTTTTAGTGCCCCCAACAGGAGTCAGGACTTGTATATATATGCAAAGAAATCAGCCCCAGATATGTCTTCTCCCATCCTTCTCATCTAAACTTCAGCTTCCAGGCATCGCACTGTTGTTTTGGGTTGACTCTTGAGCTCTTCTGGACTTTTTTCAGTTTTCTTGGACTCCTCCTTAGGACTGCTATCATCAGCCTTCTCTTCCTTTACTACTTTAGTTTCAATCATTTCCTTTTGCTGATTCTTGTTTGTAAAAGGGAAGGCTTTCACATACCTTTAGGCAAAAGCATAAATTACAGTCAGAGACTTCTAAGCAGCACACCAAAGCAATAGGTAACGCTTTACATGGCACATATTGGCACCATTATTTCAGAGCAATATTTAATGTATGCATGCTCAAACACATTAACATATCCCACCTTAATGCATATATTTAAATTGGCCACACTTTAGTCCTGCTTCACGAGTCTTCTCTCCCCCACCCTCCAAAACAAAGATGAAACAAAGGACAGAACTTTCCATAGATTTCGTATTTGTATTGCTTCTTTGTGTCCGGACAGGCAGATATGTGCGCCTGTATCTAATGCCTGGATGATATGCATGTGTTGAAACAATAGGAAAGATTGAGAAGACAGGTGAGACAAGAGAAATTTTGTGTGTTTGTAAGAAGTCTGCCATCTCCATCTTTACGAACAACTCTGGACAAAATAATGCAGCAAATGTGTCAAGGACCCCACCTTTTGACGTAGCAAACTGCAAGACCAGCTGCAGCACCAAAGAAGAGGAGAGCAAGCACTAGTAGAGCCGTGGGGACTCCTGGGGGAAACAAAGAGGAGGAGAGTTGTTCTGTCACCTGTGGTTGTGTGGACTGGGCATCAGTGGTTTGTCTTTACTAGTGACTGCAATCCTTGATAGTGTGACAAAAAGACTTCTGCTGTAGGTCCTACATCAACTTTGCTTCTTGCCTAATTCTATCTATTCTAGAAATTGCAATGTGACAGATGGGGCTCATTTATTCTTTGCTGCCTTGAGATCCATTATAGCACAAGACTGCCTAAGAATGGAATAACTGGGATAAAGTCACAATTATTAAAGGTGCATCTATTTAAAAGAACTGCTATACAATAACAGTAATTTATTTTGAAAAATCTTTTTTGAGTTTTCAGCTGAAACTCTTCTACACTAATGAATTTTGGTTAATCACTAAAGCTCTCTGACTTTATCAAAGTTGAATTTGCATTAAGTTTTTTTTTCTTAATTTGACAGATCCTGAGTGCCCAAACTGGAGGCAGGCTACCACCTTTGTACATGCGAGCTTCAGAAGGTTTGTGGGAAAATGGAGTTAAAAGACAATGTGTGTTTGCTTAAATGTTCTGAAGCCCCCATATTGTGTTATACAAAAATAGACATAACAAAGGCACCGAAAGTGTTTACCTCCAAATCCAGCAACTTCATTCTTAAATGTAGTTTTATTTTCAGTATATGCTCCAGTTTCTGTGGGTACAGTGCTAATTTCTGTAACAACTTCCGTAAAACAAATCACTTTTCTTTTCCGTGGAGCCAGAGTGGAAGCAGGAGTTGGAGTAGTAGCAAGGGTAGATGCTGCTGGGTCAAGGGATGATGCCGAGTAGGTATTGTCACTGACGGCAAACTGTGTATGTATTGAGCTTTGAAGATCAAACATAGGATCATAAGTGGTCATGACTTCTGGAAGGCATGAGTTAACCCAAACATCTGTTGGAATATGACAAAATGAAAAAGGAATTAGATAAGGCAATATTGCCCTGTTCTCAGCCTTAACTTTCCTCCCCCAAACCTTTTTACACAGCAGCCAGATGGTCTCATCAAAATGCAAATATAGTCATATCGCCTCTTTCCTTAGCATCCTCAGTTTCTGTCTCTACTGTGTGGCATGTAAGGCCCAGCTGACATTGGCAGGTACATTGCACAGGCTTTCTTTCATTGCTCTGGCCATCTTGAACTTCCTGTAGTTCTCTAATAGGCGTTCTCTCATTTCTACACTTCAACATGATGCTTTCTTCATCTTTAAGACTCTGCTTTTCTTTATTCAGCTTCCTTTTGCCATCTTTCATCTCTCATATCAGTGACATCATTCTTGGCAAACTTGTTGAAAGACTTGGTCTCAGGCAGGTGCTCCTGTATTCCATGTACGTACCTTGTCCCAATTCTCACTGCATTGTTCCCCACTGAATTGTGAGCCCCTCGAAATAGCAACCTTGTCCACTTTGGCCAGCATAGTATTCACACTGTGCCTGACACATAGCTTGTGCTTAAGAAATTATCTATCTATCTATCTATCTATCTATCTATCTATCTATCTATATCTAGTATTTTATTCATTTAAAAAAAAACAAAAAAAAATAGAATAGGTAGACAGAAAACAACAAGGAAAGCTTAGAACCAGACAGGAAATGGTCAGCGTGGACTCACACATACCTTACTAGTTACTTCTCACTAAGGTATTGAAGATTTCTCTGCACACCCCTCTTAAAACTGTTCTGCACCTCAACTGTTGACATATGCCTTGCTAGAGTTAGAAGCCAGTTTAGACTATCCTAAAATCTGCCAAGTTCAGTAGAATTATGCTTCAACACTACAGACTGCTAAATACTAAAATGAGGATACACACGAGACAGTTGAACAGCAGCACCCTATAGCCATTTTAAGGCGTATAGAAGCTGGTTGTATATAAACTAAAATTGAAATGCCAATGAAGTAGTCACAGGATGCGGTTAAGAACTTGCATTTTTTTTTTAACATATTGGTTACTCAATACCATGACCATTAATTCCATAATGTTGTAAATTGTTGTTGATGTTATGTTGGGGTTTTTAATTGATTGGGATGATATTCTGCCAGCTCTACCTTCAGACCAGAGATGACCTCCCCAAGAAACCATTGAATGTATCTGGACAATAAGATGCTGGCCTCTGCTTGGTATATGCTTGCAATGAAAGAATCTTGACTGAATTTGATCTGTAATACTGCAACAAGGTGGAGGAATCCACCATGATGGGAGGGTATGGGGAAGGGATGGAGGAATGCCAGAGCCTATGAAACTGTGTCACATAATGCAATGTAATTAATAAAAAAGAGATTTATTTATTGTTATTACAAAGTCAGATATACAGAGAGGAGGAGAGACAGAGAGGGTCTTCTGTCCGATGATTCACTCCTAAAGTGACCACAGTGGCCGTTGCTGTGCCGATCCAAAGCTGGGAACCAGGAACCTTTTCCAGATCTCCCATGTGGATGCAGGGTTCTAAAGCTTTGGGCTGTCCTTGACTACTTTCCCAGGCCACAAGCAGGGAGTTGGATGGGAAGCAGGACCGCCAGGATTAGAACCGGCGCCCATATGGGATCCCAGTGCGTTCAAGGCGAGGACCTTAGCCACTAGGCCATGCCGTTGGGCCCTATTTATTTGAAAGGCAGATTTTCAGAGACAAGAGAGACAGAGAGAGCTTCCATCTGTTGGTTCACTCCCCAAATGGCTACAGTGACCAGAGCTGGGCTTGTCTGAAACAAAGACCCTGGAGCTTCTTCCAGGTCTCCACAGGGGTGCAGGAACCCAAGAATGTGGGTTATTTTCATTGCTTTCCCCGGCACATTACTAGGAAGTTGGATTGGAAGTGAAGCAGTTTGGATTTCATATTGGATGCTGGCATTAAACACTAAGGCTTAACCTAGTACACCATGGTGCTGGCTGCATACTTAATATTGATAAATAAAGAGGTACAGAGGGTCCAGCACAATGTCTCAGTGGTTAAATCCTTGCCACAAGCACTAGGATCGCATATGGATGTCAGTCCATGTTCCAGCTGCTTCAGCTCCCTGCTTGTGGCAGTAGAGGATGGCCCAAAGTCTTGGAACCCTGCACTCATGTGGTGACCTGGAAAAGGCTCCTGGCTCCTGGCTTTGGATTGGCTCAGCTCCCGCCATCGTGGCCACTTGATGGAAGCTTTCTCTCTCTCTTTCTCTCTGTAAGTCTGCCTTCCCAATAAAAATAAGTAAATTTAAAAAAGAAAGAGAGACAAGGAAAGCAAAGTGAGAATAAGACAGCAGTGGATAGGGAGACCAAGACACACATGTGGTGTTACTTTAGGACATGATCTGCTAAGGTTACATTTCTCAGTGTTCACCAGAAAGAAAAAAGTGGAAAAATAGGGCTGAGGGAGGGATGTGGTTTTGTTTTCTAGTTGGACAAATGTGGTAGAGAGTAATAAATGTTGATAATATCAACTGGAATGTTAGCTATGAAGAAAAATTATTCTGTACAGATATTTAAATTTTGGAATTAAAATACCATGGTCATAGGTACTACTGATAAAACATGTTGACCCTACGCGCACTAAGTCAGCTTTTACACAAATAAAACCTGCACACAAACTGTCTGTTCATTTTCTTTACACAGTCTGGCACTGGGATTGTTGACCCTGACAGCCAGCTGGGCTGCTCTTTCAGTTGTGACTTTGAGGTTCTTGGAGGCAACACTGTGAACAAGCCCAGTGTAGTGGGAGTTCCTCGATGCTGTGGACCAGGAACTTTGGGAAGCCACTGAGTAGCATGGGCTTTGTTTTCTTGCTCTAGTAACCAGTGGCCCTTGATTCTTTCTCATAACCCATTGTCAGTACCTCTAAGTTTCTGCAAGTTATGCTTAATTTAATCTTGACATGTCAGTGTGACCAGGGCCAGATGACCCTTTAGATCATCTGTTTGATATTGGACTTAAGGAGGAATTTGAATACAACTAGAATGCTGAGTAGGACATGGCTGTCACCCCGCTCGTACCCTGAAATTTCATATTTCTGTTCTTGAGCACATGCTAGGTTCTTCAAGAAAATGACTATTGTATAGAAAAGATAGTTAGCTAAATATGTTACTCTGGGAACTAAAAATACACCAACAAATAAGATGATTTCCACTTCCTAGAAGGGGGATTACTGGAGATTCAGAGGTGAAGGCATTGAGCAGAACATGGAGGAGTAACTAATTCATTCAACAGGGATTTACAGAGTACCAGCTCCATGCCAGGCACTGCTGTACATGTTAGGGGCATGGTGCAAATATGACTAAGTCCCTATTCTTAAGGGGTTTGTATGCTCTGGATGATGGCAAACTAATTTAAAAATATATATTCTAAAAATCTGGTACATTTAATGTTGAAAATAAAGTTAAACATCTAACTTAGATGTGTAGGAGTAAGGGGTGGGCCACAGATCATTTGGACAAAGTGTTAAGAAGCAGTGTGGGGAGAAGCCTCTAAAGGGGAGAAGTACTAAAGCGGAGAACTGAATGGTGAAAAGTAGCCAGTCAGTGAAGAGCTAGGGCAAAGTCACTCAAAGTAATGAAAACAGAAGTTTCAAGAGCCAGAAGTTGGATGAACTCAGCCCATTTGATGAATAGCAAAACTGGGATGACTGAAAGCAAAGCTGCTGCTCTTAAATACAAGAGGGAATAGAATATCCCGGTCAACCGGAAAAGCACAATCCATAGACTGGAAGTTTGCAAGTATAGGTGCTTAAAAAATGGCAAGGATCCAGGAAACCAGAGTGACTAGAGTGGAGGGTGTGTGATTGGGGATCTGAAAGACTGGCAGCAGGAGGTGACTAGGCAGAGACGGGAGCCAGAGAATCAAGATTCACAATTGCTGTGTGAACGAATTTCAAATTCTACAAGTGAGGGAGTTTCTTGCTGGGTCCACAAGCCTCTTATATACATATAAAAGTTCTCTTCTGTGTTCACTTTTATGTGCAAGAGGTTTCACAATTTTCATACCACATTCTGGAATGGAAAATGGAAATCCATTAGATTGTGGAGTACAATAACATAATCACTGATAGAAGTGTGTGGAGGGTGAATTATAGAGGTGAGAAAGGACAACCTGTGGCAAAGAAGGGGGTGATTTCAGTTGTTCCTAAGCATGGCAGTCCAGAAATAATCTGGAATTCTGAATCTTAGATCTTAGAGATGTTCTCAGAGGAAGTTATTCTCAACCTTGGCTACACGTTGCAATCACTGATACACCACTGTGCTCCACCAGGGCCTGGCAAGTTGCTGATGTGTTCTCAACCTGGTAGATGCAAAATTGAAGTAGCATGGATCAGTGCAGGTAGCTCAAGATGGGAAGTTTGGCTATGTTCTTAATTGACTGGGATCTTAGGCAAGAGACACTATCTGTTTCAGTCACTCCCCCTAATAGTAGGAGTGATATACTAGTATTGCTTCAGTGAGGACTGATGAGATAGTAAATGTGTGAGGTCAGCACGGTGTCTGGACATAGTCCATCATATCTGAAGAATCTGTTTCCTTGGCTTCTCTGTTCACAAGTGTGGCTGCTAATACAGTTTAGTGTGGGGGAGCAACAGCAATTGGTGCCTAAATTGCAAATATTAGCTCTCTAGTATGTGTAGGTGTTCTAATAAGTATTAAGCACAGAATATAGTCAGTTTACAAGAGAATAGAAAACAGTGAGGGTTATAGGAAGGCTTCCTAGAGAGGATGGTCCTAGAGATTTGAAAAATGAGTAAGAGCCTGATATGAAGAGGATGGGCACTGTGGTAGAGGAGAAGGTACAAAGCAAATGGTGCACACAGAATATTCACAACACTGTGGTCTGGTCCCCGAATCTCACAAAGACAGCAGCAACAAATAATTATATTTGGTTTCCAAACCTTTCAAAAACAGTAGTATGAAAGTCTTAGGGTTACTTTGATTCTCAGACTTCACAAGATAGCAATAAAAAGGGAAATTACAAAAAGAAAAAAAATAGAGTAAGGTTAGAATTAGCATTATGATGACACCTAAGCTTCAGAAAATGTATCTTTATAGATCATATTTTTAGATTTATTCACCTCAGAATTATTTGCATTATGAAAAGATTTGAAACAAAATGAAAGTCCATCAATAGAGAATTGGTTGAGTGAAATTTGATGTAGCCACTCAGTGGAGTACTATACATCTATTAAAATTAACAATATCTCTATGAATTGATATGGTGAAATTTCAAGGATCTAAGTGGGAAAAGCCATGTGTAAAGCAGTATATATGCTAGTTTTTGTGAGAACAGGAAGATTCATCCCACTCCACCTGCCCACAGCACAAGCATATGCCTTTAATACAGAAAACAACACAGAGAGATAAACCAGAAGTGAATGGGAATAAGACTTCTGAATATACTTTTAAAAAGTACTATAAAACATGTACATGTTTTACGTATTCAGAAACATAAGACAAAAGTAAAACTGATCACAAATGGAAACAGATAAACTAATTTATTTCAGAGTGATAATATAACTGTGCAGAGTAGTATATTTTTTCAAGTCAATTTTGCACATACTTTTCTGAAGGTAAATCCTTCCAGAAATGTACTTGAAAGAGTTTGAAAGAAATCTCAACTTTTACTCTGTAGGGTTTTTTCTCCTCATAATGTTAGTTTTGGCATTTTTTAAAAACTATTGTAGGATAAAAATATTCATGGGAACTGAAATTCCCAATAAAGGATAAAAGAATTCAAACATAAACTAAGAAACACTTGTTAAATATGAATTATAAATTATTTTAGCTTTTTGTATATAATTGTATACACACACATAGTTATATCTGGTTGTCTAAGCAACTACTGAAAAGCAGTGAAAAAAGGTAGTGATGATGTATATTAGCTGGCTTTTTTGTTGCTATAATGAAATACCTGTGATAGGCTAGCTTTACAAAGGAAAGAGATTTATTTGACTCAGAGTTTTAGAGGTGTACAGTGCAGATGAGGCACTTGCAAGGGATCCATGACAAATGGCAGGTACAAGTATGGGAGGAAGGGTTCACATCTTCATAAAGGAAACCAGAAAGAGGCTGGGTAAGGCAGACTCAAGCTTTTATAACAATTCACTCTTGAGAGAACCGCACTTCAAGAGACCAGTAGATGTGTCTGGAGGTAGGACTCCAGTGATCTAAAGATCTCCTGCTAGACCCCACCCCTTAAAGATTCCATCACTTCAACATTGTCGCACTGGGGAAGGGGGCTGACCTTTCAACATGTGGGACTTGCGGGGAACTAGCAACACCCAAACGTAGCATTATAAGAACAGCTTACATCCAGATTAACATCTCCCTTCCACCCCCGTTTCAACTACCACCATTGAAATAAGTGACTGATGCTACATCTGGTACAGAGAACCTATAGAGTGAAAGAGTGAACCTGGGCTTTGTTATTGTGCCTAGAAGCAAGGAGTTACTTAAAACAAACAAACCTGAATCAAACAAGACAGGTAAGTCACCTAGAAGAGTGGGTTCCCATTTGTCAGATTTGGAATAGTTTAAGCATCAGAAAAATAGAGGAATAATCTATGGCCATACCACCTTAAGCACATCTAATCTCTTCTGATCTCTGAAGCTAAGCAGGGTCAGGCCTGGTTAGTACTAGCATGGGAGAAAAAGAGAGGATTAGTAATTATAAAATTGACAACATGTTGAACCTGTTGAATAAGCAAAGTGTCAGTACCTATGGCAGTATAAGAGATGGAAAAGGTGTTATGAGAGAGATTTTTAAATCAAAGATGCCAGCTAATATATGTAGAAGGAATAGTAGATTTAGAAAAATCACCATTTTCTTGCTCCCGTATATTCGCTGATTCTACCAAGGATCATAAATGTCTGCTTAAACTATTATATAAAAGGTAGGTGGAGATTAGGATATTTGGTGCCAAAATATCCTCCTGTAATTTGTCTACTAATTGTAAAGGGAAGACATTGTTATAGAGAAATCTGACATTTACCACCTTAGTCAAATGATAAAAACTATCATATTAAATAGATATTAAGTGGTTTGTTATGCAATCCAAGGTACATAATATCAATATTTTTGCCCAAAATATTGAGCATGTCTCAATGTCTAACTTTAAGTGTACAGAAAATAGAGAATGCCAGTGGTGAACTCTGCTTATTTCATCCATGAAGTCTGGGAACTGGACAAGGGCTTTTCTATGCCAAAGCCCATTGGTTGTGAGAACTGGTTAGATCCTATATTGCTTTTCTGGGATAGTTTTGTTAAACATTTGTCTTTTAGATCTTAGAGAATGATTTTGTAATCTATCCTGGCTTGACCATTAGTGACCTAGCTCTTAGAAAGTTAAGATATGAGTATGTGTGAGGAGTACTAAATCTGATGAATTCTTGTGACAGATTGAGAACACATTGTGAAAAAAAAAAAAAAAAACCTATCCAAGAAGTCTGCAAGCAATATCAATGGGATGACTGTATGTCCACAAGCAAGTCGCTTCTACTCTTCAGGCTTTGAATTCTTTATAAAATGGGGATTGGATTTTGTTCATTAAAACAAGATTGTAGTACCAGAATTTTCTCTCCTATAATGGAATATGGAACAGAGGAAAGTGCATGGTTTCAGAGTTGGAGCTGAATTTGAGTTTGGATAGAAATGAGGCCTTAGACAAATTCACCCACATCCCCTGTGTTCCATTTTTTCTTGTGCAAAATGTCCCCAAGTAGGGACATTTTAGGGTTCATGCACATTGCTTTCTCCACCATGGATGCATTAAGCATATTTGTATATTGCTTCCTTGCCTTCTGCTTGAAGGGGTGGTATGGGTGGTAATTGAGCCACCTGAATTGCCTTCTGCCTATATTTCTCCCATTTTTTCCATGCAATAGGAACATCACCACTGTTTGTCAAAGAGATAGTTGTAGAGAACTGCCAATTGCCCTTGCTGGTGCCAATCAGTTACTCTTCCCAGACAGGCCACAGAGCTTGAGCTACCCAGAGCACACACTGCACGAGGAGAGGCTGTAGATCTGACTCACCAGATGAGTTGTAACAGTAGGCCCCGAACATTTTGCTAAGTGGAGCTCTCCAGATCAGGACACCTTTCCCATTCTTCCCACATTTGGGGTTTGGGATAATCCGAGGGATCACAGAGAACCCTTCTTTAACCCATGCGTAGCTGTAAGAGAAACCACAGTAATTGAGTGGACAAATGATTGGAAGGCACCATCCCTACTGTTGCTGAATGAGAGTACAGAACCAAAGAGTAATGGCTGTGTTGGTGAATCCAGCTGTTTCTTACTTGCAAGTCTCAAACCCAGACTTCCATGCCTCTTCAACCTGGTCTTTGCTGGCCAGAGTTAGTCCCAGCAACCTGCAGGCCTCTTTGGCTTCTGTGAAATTCAGCTGCAGGCCCACCTTTTTGTTCACAAGGGTGACACCCACAATTCTGCATGGCAGCAAGATGGAAAGCTCTGTGAAGAAATGAGACAGATCATAGGTTGTGATATCTTTGGTTCCAGTTTTTAGGCACTCCTTCCTAACACAGAATAGTCCTGAAGCAGCAGAGGTCTGAATGGCTGTGATTGAGGTTTAGAAAGAAGAGGGGCCTGAGCCAGGAATCTCCTATGAAGACAATCTGCTGAGTTAGATGTCAATCTTGAAGTCCATTTTATCCCACTGCAATAAGGTGTATTTTGTTCATCATAAGGGCTTTGGCTATCAGTTCCTGCATGTGGGATTTAGTTGATAAGGTTGCTGCTACCCTCCTTGGAGTCTGTAAAATGAAGCTTCTGCAGCTGGGCATTTGGCCTAGGGGTTATGATACCAGTTTAGCCATGTTGTGTCCCATATTGGAGCTTGCATTCAATATGCAGCCCTGGATCCTGACTACCTTCCTTCTAATGCAAACCCTGAGAAGCTGCAGTGATGGCTCAAGAAACTGGTAGAGGAAGCATGCTCTCTCGTTCTGTTTGTGTGTCTCTTCTGTCTCTCAAATAAGTAAACACATAACTTTAAAAAACAAAGCATCTGAGATGTTAAGGTAGAACTTAATGCTCTGCGGGGGCAGGGGGAGTGGGTACCCCAGAATGGAGCAGGTGGACAGGAGAAGGCTTGTATCCCAACCCTGGAGACCTCTGGATCCTCACCAGGACTATCAGTATGGGCACCAAGGACTACATCCCAACAGCCAAGGAGACCACTGGGAATTAGAGTGCTTTCAGAGGCCGAGAACTCTGAGGTCACCCACCCCTGTTGGGATCTACCATATGGGATGGAAGAAGCCCAAAGGCTCCTTTGCAGGATTCAAGGTCATGGGAACAACAGCCAGGAGCCCTGAGCGGTCCGCAGAAACAGAACAGTAAACTTCCTTTGGGACTAGAGAAAAGAGCTTTGTCTGGTCCTTACTTAGTTCCAACTTTGGATCCCCATCCTCTCTTACAATGACCATCAGGGTCGCTCTGGAGCACCACCCAAACAAACAAACAAAATTAGAATAGATAGACAGAGAACAACAAGGAAAGCTTAGAACCAGACAGGAAATGGTCAGTGTGGACTCACACATACCTTACTAGTTACTCCTCACTAAGGTATTGAAGATTTCTCTGCACACCCCTCTTAAAACTGTTCTGCACCTCAACTGTTGACATATGCCTTGCTAGAGTTAGAAGCCAGTTTAGACTATCCTAAAATCTGCCAAGTTCAGTAGAATTATGCTTCAGCACTACAGACTGCTAAATACTAAAATGAGGATACACACGAGACAGTTGAGCAGCACCCTATAGCCATTTTAAGGTGTATAGAAGCTGGTTGTATATAAACTAAAATTGAAATGCCAATGAAGTAGTCACAGGATGTGGTTAAGAACTTGCATTTTTTTTAACATATTGGTTACTCAATACCATGACCATTAATTCCATAATGTTGTAAATTGTTGTTGATGTTATGTTGGGGTTTTTAATTGATTGGGATGATATTCTGCCAGCTCTACCTTCAGACCAGAGATGACCTCCCCAAGAAACTGTTGACTATATCTGGACAATAAGATGCTGGCCTCTGCTTGGTGTATGCTTGCAATGAAAGAATCTTGACTGAATTTGATCTGTAATACTGCAACAAGGTGGAGGAATCCACCATGATGGGAGGGTATGGGGAAGGGATGGGGGAATGCCAGAGCCTATGAAACTGTGTCACATAATGCAATGTAATTAATTTAAAAAAAGAACTTAATGCTCTGTACTTGTGACTGTTGTTGAAGGAAGAACAGGGGAAATCAGTGAGAGAGAAGGGGAAATGGAGAGGGGACATGGGTAAGGGAGAGGGGTAATCCCTGAGCTTATGAAGTTTATCATAAAGAATTTAATGCTCTGGTTAATAATTTAATACTCTAGTTAGCAATTCTCCAATTCAGTGTCATTTGAGGACGTGAGCATTTCTAAGATGGGCTGAAAATGTTGTAACAAAAGGTAAGCTCTTTGAATTCCAGGTCTTCTCTGACCACTGTGGGTCAGGCTTACTCAGATGACCCAGAAGGACCTGGGCAATAACCTTTGCATAGTAGAGAAACTAAATGAAGGAAATTGAGTTTTAGAGTCAGGCTTGGACTTGTACATAGTTTTATTACCTACTAGTTCTGTGAACCTAGGCTAGATTCCCTCTTTGAGCCTCAATTTTTCCTATTTATAATCTCAAGAGCAATATCTATTAAATAGGGTAATGCGAGTTAAAGTGTTGAAGGCCGGTAAAAATGCTTAGCAAAGTACCTGCAAGGGATAAATGATCAGTAATCATAGGTAATATATCCTCTCCCAGGACTTGTTGGTTTTTCTCTACTAATAATTGATATTTCTGGGGAAGCTGAGGCTACTGAACAGTTAAGATGTGAAGAGTTTACTCAAAAATTAATGGATTTGTGAGTTCTTTCAACATCTTCCCTGTGCATTCTGAGATTTGTAGACCAGTGTGAAATTGCCAGGTGGCATTGTGTCCAAGTATATTATTCTGTGGGACTTCCTCCAGGAAAGTTCCTACAAGACCAGTTTAGTCTCCCAAGTAAATGCCTAAATGCAGCCTTGTGTCTTTAATACCCAAAAGCTTTGATCACTGTCTAGGTTTCTATATACACAGGAAATTTCTTCTTAAGAATGGAAAGAACATTTCAAAGTCCTCTCTGTGAGTAAGCTATATTCTGAAGCAGAAGCTGGGGAAAGGTTGTTTGTATGAGGTATGGCCTTTTTTTGCTGCCTGATTCTGCTGTCACCAAGAGACACTAGAGAGTCAACACTTGAACATGTCACTGGGGTGACAGAACAGCTGTATGTGGCTGTATATACTACTGATAGTAATATTAACACTAGTCATGATCCCAACACCTATCATCTATTGATGTTACAGTGTGCCAAACCGTGTGTGTGCGTTTTAAAGGAAAAAAGTTAAAGCTCGGGGAGGTTAAGTAATTTTCACAAGCTAAGCATTTAGAGAAATTGTGGGTTAACTCAGGGGCACAAACCCAATTATTCCTAAAACATAAGTTCTTAATTATGATACTATTCTTCTGCCTTCCACTGGGCTATGAGGTGATACACAAATACATATGCACAATATGGAACTGAATTCTGAGGGGTTGGTGCTATGGCATAACAGGTAAAGCTACTGCCTATGGTGCCAAATCCCATATGGGCACTAATTCAGGTCCCAGCTTCTCTACTTCTAAGCCAGCTGTGTGCTAAAGCAGCAGAAGATGGCCCACTTCTTGGTCCCCTATACCCCCGTGAGAGACCCAGAAGAAGCTCCTGGCTTCAGACTGGCCCAGCTCAGGTAATTTTGGCCATTTGTGAAGTGAATCAGCATATGGCTGCTCTCTGTCTCTTCCTCTCTCTGTAACTAAGCCTTTCAGGTAAATAAGCAAATCTTTTTATTGGAAAGTCAGGTTTACAGAGAGAAGGAAAGATAGAAGGATCTTCCATCCACTGGTTCACTGCTCAAGTGGCCACAGTGGCTGGAACTGAGCCAATCCAAAGCAAGGATCCAGGAGCTTCCTCCGGGTCTCCCATGCAGGTGCAGGGTCTCAAGGTTTGAACTATCCTCTACTGCTTTCCCAGGCCACAAGCAGCGAGCTGGATGGGAAGTGGAGTATCTATAACATGAACCAGCGCCCATTTGGGGTTGTAGCAATTGGATGTGAAGGATTAGCCAGTTGAGCTATTGCACCAGGCCCAAATAAGTAATTCTTTAATGGAAAAAAAAGTTGGGGGATGATAAGATAAACCAAAAATTTAAGTGGTTTTTTCTGTGAGTAGTAAGGAGGCTTAAAGAAAGAAAAAGAACTGAACTCTGAACTCTGAACATTACTCTGGAATGCTTGCTTGTTTATTCGCCTTCTTTGGAAACTGACTCTAGGGAAGGATTATTGATTATGCTAGAAGATCTTGGACACTCTCATCAGATTTAGTTTTTACCCTAAATATTGTCATTTACAGAGAAGTGATCTAATCTGGAGGAATTGACACGGCTTTATATTTGACTGTAGGGACCATGAGCAAGTCAGCATTCTCTCTGGAGAATGAGAATGGTTACATCTTTTTCTAGATTTTTTTCAGAATTATTTTATGTAACTTGTACATAGGAGCTAAATTCATAGAAGTCTGTGAACAAAATACTAACCAATTCCATGCCTTGCTATTTTACTTAGGAATTAAAAATAGGACATAAAATCCAAGGGAAGGTACTCCAATTACCCATTTCTTAAAATTTTTTTTTTCAGGAAGCAACAGGCATGCTAGAAATAGGATTAGTGTATGCTTAAGAATCAGACCAAGTGAATTCAAGCCCAAGTTTAAGTTGTTGCCTGTGTGACGTTAAATCGCATGGCCTCATTGGTGAGCCTATTTTTTTTTTCTAGAGAGGATTATATAAAACTTTTTATACATATCTAATTCTGGCTCTCTATTGAAAAAGGTTCTCAAGAAAGTTTGGATCCTCACCTTCTTTACCACATTATTCTGCAGTTATGGCTATGGTAACTTTGAGCTGTCCCAAAATTATAATTTCCTTAGGAATTTTTTGGCCATTATTGAAGATAATCTTAAGAGAGTGATGGACTCCCTCTCTTAGAACAGTATCCAGAACGGTCTGAATAATGATTACAACACGGGAAAGGAATTATTTTTTCAAGTCTCTAGTGGAAGTAACAGTTCTGGTTTAAAAAATCAATATTTGCTCTAATTTCCCTTCTAAATTTGAATACAACAGTATATGAACCAATTTGGAATGTTTGTTTTCAGCATATTCTCTATCTAGGTGCCCCCTTAGCACAGGAATGTATGTTTCTCCTTAAAAGTACTCAGATGTTCATTTTTCCAGAGCTGCAGTGACTTACAAGTTTTGCTATAATGCAGAATGATATTTTCATGTAATTGTCTTAAAAACCCCCCAAATCACTGTTAGTCATTCCTTTGGTAGGCAGTTGGTGAATTTTTAAACTAAAATTTTAAGATATTTTCCTCAGTATATATTAATAAAATTAATTAAACTAATAAAATAATTCTAAGATTATTTATAAAATAATATTAAATGAAACAGTATCTTTTATCATTTATGTGTATTAAATTTATTATACATTTAAAATTTTGATTTCCATTTGGTTATATCAATTTGAAATTAAAATAATGATTCTGGCATTTCCAAAAATATAAAACACATCAATATTTTGTGAAAAATTATCTTTTTCCAAGATGAATAATTGTTTTAAACTTTTTGCAATCCTGATCTTCTTATTCAATCAGATTTTTAAAAACAAATGATTTCTCCTCAATGTGTTATTTTAAAGTATTCTCAGAAAAAAATCCCCTAATCAAAAATAAAAGTTGAAATGATATAAAGGAAAATTGATGAGATAATGGCAACATTCCTGGTGGAGCAATACCATCCAGCAGTGCTTCTGTAGATACTGAGGGTCGCCCCATACCCAAAACCAGTAGTCAAAAGCTTGGTAGGTTTAGGACAGTTCCCAAGATCCTGCCTGGCTTCTACTTGAAAATCTGTTTAGAAACCTACCTTGAACTCGGAGAGAGCCTTGGGCCAGAAGCCTTGTGGGCCAGATGGAGACCAGAAGCAACAGCAGGCTGAAGCACTTGGCCATTGTGCCAGTGCCCCCAGAACCAGGAAAGCACGTCAGATTGCTCCTGGCAGCAAGGGAGGCAGACACTCAGTCACCAGTCTGGACAGAGTTCTGAAAATGTGTGGAGGCCCCCACCGCTCCACTTTAAGTGAGACATCCGGATTTCCCTGCTTTCAAGCTTCTGACTTGTCAAGGTCATTGGGGGAAATGAGTGACGTCCCTTGAACGCCAAGGCAGTAGTTTGTGGATGGCTTTCTGGAAAATTTAGCTAATGCCAACACAGCACACCATGAGGAAAGCAGATAGCACAATGTGAACTGCTGAAGGTTTTCCCAGTTCCCATTATTCCCTGTCACTGCAGGCTCTATTCTCACACTTTTCATTGTTGATGCCTCGGAGCCCATTCACTTAAATACCCCCAGGAATGTCTGTGTCCCTGATAGAGATTGAGCATGGATTCTGCTGCTTTTCCTTCAGTTCAGCATCTACCCCCTCAGCCCTCTACCAGTTGTATTGCTTTGTAATCTGAGGGGAGAATGTTGCTGAGATTCATGAAAGCAAATGCCCATTTAACTACCAAACATAGGATCTTAAGCCTTTCCTGTAACTTAAGAAAAAGAAAAAACAAAACAAACAAACAAACAAAAAACCCAAAACTGGAAATCCCTGCACTGCGGAGATTTTCAAAGAAATCAGACACACATAAAAGTTGATATTTGCAAAGCAGTGGGGAAATTTGAAAAATTATTCATTTTGCCCTTCGAGAGGATTTTTGGCTTTGCATAATAAATCATGTTAGAGACTTTTTTATATATTCTCTCTTTAGTAACTCCTATTATAGTCTGTCAGACCAAAAACTAATCTGGACTCCACCTTTCTGATGAGTAAGAAGTCTGAGGGATTTATCACAAGTTCATGGAAAATGGAATGAAAAGATAAAACCATGTGGTAATTTATTTTTTGAAATCAGCATATGGTTTTTACTAATATGCGTTTTTTTTTAACTTTCTGAAGATCCTGCTTGCATCTGCGCTATATATGACCAGGATACACTATTTTCTCATGTAGGATTTCAGTGATTTGGAGTTTGTGAGCAATACCTGTGCCAAGATTCATGAGTTATGCCCAAAATGAACACCTGTTAGAGGAAAAGTGCATTGATAACTAGCTCTTTTCTAGCTAAGTGATATTGATCGTAAAGATAGATATCTATGCTGGAAAATTTCACTATTTAAAAGAGAATCTATTGCCTACAAACCTGGGGAACTTCTAACAAAGGGGAAATAATCCACAGGTAACTCAAATACACACCTCTTGGGTGAACACAAATCCTCAGCAAACAGGTACCTGAGAAACATGTGACTCCATTATTAGGGTACCAGGAGACTGGAAAACAGGAACCATGCCCTCTTCACAAATATCCTTAAAGCCTAGTACCATACCTGAAACTTGGCTGGCTTTCAAAAATGTGATAATAACAGAAAGAAAAAGGAAAAGGAAACAGGAAGCAGAAAAAAAAAACAAATCATGGAAGACAAAGCATTAAATTAGAGACGTAGCTTATGAGAAATAAGTTCAAGTTACTGGAAGGGAATTATTGAATAAAGGGAGTCTGAATGGTTATGCTGGTGCTTAATAATGAATTTCTGGAAACAGTCTTGTTTTTGGATAGCTCCATTGACACAGATTAAGCCATCATTGGAGTATGACTGAAAATTCATGATTGGAAGTTGCTACGCCTCTTGGAGGCATGACTATCTATATTCAGTCTCAGCCCCTGGGCTTCTCACCCACAATAATTTTTAAATTTTGCATTTATTTCAGTTCTGTTTCAAAGGCAGAGAGAGACTCTGCTATCCACAGGTTCAATACCCAAATGCCTGCCACAGCTAGAGCTTAACCAGGCCAAAACTAGGAGCCATGAACTAAGCCATCATCTGCTACCTCCCAGAATTAGAAGCAGCAGGAACCTGAAATCCTAACTGGAATTGAGACTTGGACTTAGGCACTGTGATGTGGGTGTCCCAATCAGTATCTTTAACCACTGTTGCACACAAAGTAAGTTTCTGAAAAGTTTGTTTTCAAGAGGTATAAGCCACAAACTTCATGCAAAATGTAAGAGCAATAGCCCTTTCAATACTGTTTTTGCTGCAACCCATGGGCTTTGATATTTTTGTTCTTTCATGTCTTCAAAATAGTTTCTTTTCTGTTATTAAATTCTTCATTGACTCATAGATCATACAGTAGCACCATTTTCTCCAAAGCTTTTTTTTTTTCTGTTTTATTTCTTCATCGACACATTGGTCATTCCTTGCATGTTATTTAACTCCATGGTGGTGTAAGCTTTTTTTTTTTTAAATGTTATTTCTCTTGTTGATTTTGTTCTATGGCTTTTCATTTAAGGGAATGTATAGTAATGGCATAATAGAGACTTACATATACAGGTGTGAAGATGCAGTGCAGTATACATCTCTGCTTTCAAATCAAAGGACTCCCAGTAGACTGCTGGACGTATCTTGACAATAGGATGCTGGGCTATCTGCCATTGTCTATACTGGCAATCTCAGAAACACTTGAATAGCAGATTGATGGATTCATGACTGCTTATGTAGAACTATACTATTGTAATAATATGGGGGAAATCAGCTGGGGGGAAGGAATTTGAGGAGGGGATAAGGGAAATCCCATAGCCTATGGAATGTATCATAAAATTAAAAATAAAACAGAAGGGGGAAAGAAAGTTGAATTAAAAGTCAGAGTACAGAGTCAAAAAGAAAATGCTGCTAGATAATCTCTCTTCACTATTTTGAGAAATAACGTTCAGAATATGAGAAAAGAAGTAGCAACTGCTCACTAATACATACTGGCTCATATTGTAACCAAAGAAAATCAGCAACTAGAGAAGATTTAGAATCCGGGATTTATGAAATTAATTGAAAAGGAAGAGGACAATCATCAAATGTCAAAGAACAGAAAACAGGGAAAATATAGCCCAATTTTCTTGTGACCTTGATATGAAAAATAAAAGTGAAAATGCATGATTCAGTAGAAAATACAGTATAAATTTTGAAGTGTTACAAGAAGAAAAAATTTAAAAATCAGGTAAATACGGTTTAATCCAGACCACTGATGTAAGAGTAATAGCTAATTTAGCTTAAGTTCTAACATTAATTATTTCTGTGACCTTGAGCAAGTCATTTCACTTCTCTGGGTGAACTTAAATAATAACAGTGATAGAATTCTATGATACTGATATTATAGAGATTACTTTCAAAAATATATTCAAGAGAAAGTGTTTTACTCAGTGTAGTCTAACTGCTCTAACAACTACAAATATTAATGGGTTAACAAATTACAAGTTTATTTCTCTCATGGCACAATCCAGTGACTACCAGGTGGTAATGGAATAACGGAAGTGGTCCTTCTCTGAGCGTTTTTATAACCCTATAGTCATTCGCTTCCTGAGTTCTCTCCCAGATCTTCACATTGTCTCAGCAAGCAATGATAGAGAGTATAGGGGACTGAGCTGGAGATTGTTTTAGGGGGCCAAACATGACCAGTAGCTGCCTCAATTCCACCAGAGTTCCATCAGCAATGCCTTTGTCGCATTTTCCTACTTGTATTGGTCTGTTTTATGTTGCTGGGTAACTTTGTAAATGAAAAAAAAAAACCAGTTTATTTTACTTCATAGTTCCTGAAACTGAAAATCTAAGATCCTGCAGACCTGTCTGTTGAGCCTCTGGTCAAATTCTTTTGGCACCATCACAGCAAGATGCACAACATCACATAGCAAGAGTGCCCATGAGGCCAGCTGGTAGTGCATGAGGAAGGGAGACAGGGAAGATGTCAGGCTCACTTTAACTGCAGTCTCTTAGAGCAAATCCCATGAGAGCTAGAACTCCCACAAGACCAAATGACTCCCTCTCTGCAGGAAAGTGAGGCCTGACTGCCTCCTATTAGGCCCAGCTCTTAAAGTCTTCCCACTTCCCAACACCACCACAGAATCGACCGGCTTCCAGCATATAGACCTCTGGGGACAAGCCAGATGCAAACCATAGCACCACCTAACTGCCAAGGAGTCCTCATCTGCTGTGTGCCCAGGAATTAAAGGAAAAGGGATCTGCTGAGCATGTCACAAGCTCTGACATAGTTTACCCTTCTGGTCACCCAGTATAGGACTCACTGTTTCTCCCACATAAAGAATATGGTAGTCCTTTCTCAAGGCAGGCAAGCTCAGATCCAGTCCAGCTCAAAGTCCATAATCTCTGGAGTATGCTTAATCTTTCCCATCAGGTCAACTTTGACACCACGGTTCTGGTGACCTGTGATCCAAAAAAGTTATCCTCACACATCACCGCGCAGGTGTAATGATGAAGCAGGATCTAGATGACTTCAGCAAAAATTCCCAAGTGTAATCTAAAAAGGGAAGCAAGGAAGTCACAGTACTCACCAGGCATGTGGGGGTCTGCAGTGCTCGGAAAGTCATTGCAAAGGCCACTAAATCAGTTTTCTGCAGTTTGATGTAATAATTACCACAGATCTAGGGTTACAAATAATGCCCATTTATTATCTCACCGTTTCTGCAAGTGACTCAGCTGGGTTCTCTGCTCTGGGTTTCACAAAGCTGAAATCCATGTGTTGTCTGGAAGAATCCACTTACAAGCTCGTTCAGGTTGTTGGCAGAATTCAGTTGAAGTTGCCATAATGAGGCCCTTATTTCTTTGGCTGCTGTCTGTTGGGGTTCTTTCTCTGGCTCTAGAGGCACCTCCATTTTTAAAGCAGCAATGACACACTGCTTTCTCTCACTTGTAATCTCTCTGACTTCCCTTCTGCTATTTCCCAGAGAAGCGCTGAACATTGCAGGGCCAATGTAATTACAGTTCATGTGATGCAACATAGTAACAAGCACTGTTATTGAGAGCATCCAAGCCCACTTACATCTGGTGTCAGGCCCAGGGGGAAGCCTTGTGCAGCCCTTCTTCCTGGGCCACCATCTCACTGCCCCATGTTTGCAAACAGAGTAGTGTTTAAATAGTGTATTGGCAAACAGGATATTGTTTAAATGCTGAGGAGGAGAAAAAACTCACCTCACCAATTGTCAGTTGTCAAGGTAGCCAGGACAGTAACACTACCACAGTTTCCTAATTGGTTAGAGAACACCAATGGGGAAGGTTTTTGTAGGTTTCCGTCAAGATGAGCATCCATCATTGGGACCCCTGCCCAGCTGAGCAACAATGAGGGGCTAGGGAACCCTTGGAACCCAAGACAATTCCTGAAACCCCATTACTGTCCTTCTTTCCTTTGAGGAGACATTTCATCTTCCAGCCCCCTTCCAGGAAGTGCTGTCACCTTCCCTTTTCCTTCCACCTCCACTTGTTCACTTTGCAAATAAAATTCCTCTGCCTGCCACCGATTCCTGGATTTTTCTTTCTTTTTTATTTTTTAGATTTATTTAATTTGTATTTGCAAGGCAGATTTTACAGAGAGAGAGGGAGAGAGATAGAGGTCCCCCATCCACTAAGATAATCCCAAATGGCTGCAACTACTGGAGCTGAACCATTCCGAAGTCAGGAACCAGGAGCTTCTTCCTGGTCTCCCACATATGTGCAGGGGCTCAAGGACTTGAGCCATCCTCTGCTGTTTTCCCAGGCTGTAAGCAGGGATCTGGGATCTGGATCAGAAGTAGAATAGCTGGGACATCAAGTGGGCACCCATATGATGGAGAATTAGGCTGATATGGCACCTTACTGGCACCCTTTTTCTTTCTTAATAAGCTGAGAACTCACTGAGCTTTGCTGATAACAGTTGTCTCATAGCCGAAACTTCCACTCTTTAGGATGGGACATCTGTGGGTAGCCATTTCAGACATCCTGCCTCCAGTCTTGATTAGGGAGTGGTCGACTAGACCTCTGTATTCTGTTGTGGTGAATACTCCCATATGCACTGCTTGCTGCAGCCCTCGGCTTCCCCATGAGGACCCTTCACTGTATATAATCTCTCTTGGCCACATTTAGAGTGGGTAGGAGGGAGTAAGGCCCCAGGTGAAGCACAGCTTTTGTAGTCTGCTTTCTGCTGCTGTAAGCTTAGGAGCCCTGAATTGCTTTTCTAATTTGAACAAAGGTGTTTTTATAGTCTGGCTTGTGTTTCTTTGTAAATACAACATCTTCACAAACTTAGATTTGTGGTTTAATTCCATCTGCCCATCATATCCCAAATCCTTTCCCAGTAATGATTCTCAAGACTGGATCTCACATCTCTCCCTCTTTCCCATCTAGTGGTGGATATATTCCATTCATTTGAAACTACAAAATGGAAGGTTTATGTCCTTAATGTAGCTATTGCTGTTGAGCTGAGTTGATCTGGTCAACTGACAGTCTGGCTACGGGTGGCCTTTCAAGATATCATGCGTAAGGTTACCACTTTAATAAGTGTTTTGTTTTAAACACAGCATAGGGCACAGTCTTTATGAGCTTTAATATTAGTTTCTTGCTTCCTACCTTTTGACCATTAAATGAATTCTCGTATTTTGGAATTGTATCATTGAAGCACCCCATTTCTGGTTCAGCTGTTGGCATTAGAGTAGTCCAGCAGCAATAACAGACATTCCTAAATCTGAGTGGCTTGACACACACATTTTATTTCTTGCCTTCATCACAGTTCATGTTGTGTCTATCCATTCAGAAACACAGCATCATTTAGTGATTCATTTTCTGAAGCCTCCAAGACTTCCACAGAACCCCTTTGATTTTATCAGAGAAGACCACAAAGAGGGTGTGAATTATTGTGGGTGAGAGTGTACCAGGTTCGGAACGCACATGTTCTCCTGAAACTAGCACAGAAAAGAAAAAAAAAGCTGTCAAATCACATTGGCAAAGATTTGATCACAAGAAAACATACTTAATTTACTTCAAATATAATAGGCCAGGAAGGTATAGGAAACTAACATTAGGGATGAGCCACCTCCATGTGGTGGCCCATAACGTAAAGTCCTAAGAACCAGGGACTTCTGACTTGGTTCTGGGGGAGAGTAATGGCCAAAGTGTCCTAATTCAAAGGTGGAGTGAGACTGTGGCTCAACTCCATAGAATGAGGAGGCATTTGGCTCTGCCAAAGATTTGGAAATGTGCTTTTATTTTCAAAATCAGGCATGTGACACTCTACAGTTCAACACTGACACACCTGTGTGAGGTTTAACAACTGACAGCCAGTGATACACAAACCCACCATCTCTCTCTCCATGTACTCTGTCAGGCTGGATGTGGGGAGCATTACATAGGGCTTTGTGGTGGTCAGAAAGTGAAGATCCTTTTATGAGGTGATGATGTCTGCAATGACACACACAGCACATCACTCTGAAGCTGAACTTGGGCAACCAGATGTCTTAGGCAAAGCAGAAATGGCAGGCTGAGGGTGCATTTAAGGGGAAAATATTTTTTCAGATCAACATGACCACCGGAAGTACCTGACCTATGCCTTTCCATTTCATAACTGCTTTGGCACACCTGCAATTACTTCCCATTGAGTTTTTAATTTCCAGAATGTATAGACCGATAAGACTTCTTCAGCCACTCAACAGTAAATGTGGCTACTCTTCTCCCTTTTAGACACCTCCTCTCACTGACCTCCCTCAGTAGTGTGGGCAAAGGCTTGTGTCTGAAGTACTTTAGCAAACCTCTCTGTGGAGTACCAGGAGGTGAAGCTCTCCACATCTATTTCCATGGTCTTTGTCTCACCTGGAAACAAGGGTGGGAGCACTTTGGTCAAGTCATGGTAGTGCAGCTCAGCGTGGTCCTTTTTAAAGAGGAGCAGAGGCTGTATGGCCCAGCTAGTATCTTGCCTGCCCCATAGTCGCTTCTCTGGAACTCCACTGAGAACCTGTCTTTTGATTCTGAAGGTCTCACATAGTAAAAGTTCCTTCAAGTTGTATTAGGTTATCTCTGGAAGAGGCCACGTGAACTATTCACCCGTGCCCTCAAAGTCCTTCTGTTCTTCTGTGTACCTCTTTACCTTAATGGCACGTCCTTGGTCCACCCCTGCATGGGTTCTTTCACAGCTGTGTCCCAGCACACTGTAAAGGATGCTCCTTCCAGTAAAGCAGCTGTTTTCAGGTAGGGACTGGTCTAGGGAAGCTTCCCTAAGGTGAATGAATACTCTGAGATCATCCCTTGTTGCTGTCTTGTAAAGATGGCTGAGGACTATTAGAACAATCTGAGACTGAAAAAAAGTGACTTTTTCATGGACATTAGGGCAATGATGATGCTAGTAGCATGAAGAATGTCAGCTGTTCCCAGGCTACTCTCCACCTTCTTGAATATTACTTGTATTTTAAATCAATATTAAATGATACTCTCCCAAGTGTGAGCCACCATGCTAGCCACTTCCCCAAGAGATGGGTAAGGCATGGTTCTTGTCTTGGAGGAAAAATGCACAGGAACACATATACATGAATGAGTTACTATAATATGTTGTAGACAAAGGTCAATGGTACAATAGTGCCAGAAAGCTCAGTGCAGGTTGTTCCCTATGAGGTTGGGCTTAGTGCAGAGTGTGGAAGGATGTTGCCAAAGCCTGTGTGGTGGGACTGGTTTCTGCACTTGGTCCTAAACAGTGACTAGAAGACTGGAAGGAGGGCTACTATCAAGGGAAGAGCCATGAGAGAAACTGTTTAGCTGGGAACCAGACATGGTTTAGGGTAAGTGAAGCACCACTTGGAGAAGTGAGACTGGAAGGTAAGGCATCCAGTTAGGAGATCACTGGCAGGGCCATGGAAGTGTTGGAGCTAAGAGTACAACCCCTCCAACCAGGTGACCTGAGTTTGAATTCCAGCTCCATGATTACCTATCTGGGTGTCCTTGGCAAATTACTTGACTTTTTTTGAGCTTCATTTTCCTTATCTGAAAATAAGAAAGGTTCATCTCATAGTCTTTTGTTTTTTTTTTTTTAAGAACTAGATGAATTAATACCTATGTAATACTGAGAACAACAGTTGGCTCACAATAAGTTCTGTTTGAAGGTTAGCCATGGAAGCAAGCAGTATCAATAAAACAAAGAACAAAAGCAAAACCACCACAAGAAAACCCACACAGACTCCAAGTCCCTCTCTCCCAAAGCATAAGGTTTCATTCAAAGACAGTGGCTGTCAAGATGGGGAGAGAAGTCAACTTGGAGATGGGATGTGTTCCTTTGGTTTATGCTAAGCATTTTGGAATGCCCTGAAACACATGCTAGGATTGAAAAATCCCACTTGAACTAAAGTGCTGAGGCACAACGGCCTCCTTACATGTGGGTGCATATCTAGAGTTGGAGACTGAGACTGAAAGCTGCATTTCTCCTCACATACCTAAGAGATGGGTTAACTGCCTTCAAAAGGAGAGAACAAGTAGGGAATGGGCTGTGCTATACAGCAACTTAGAACTGGTGTTTTAAATGGAGACTGGCAAGTTTGCCATGGAAGCTATGAGTCTTTAGTGGTTTTCAAACATCAACCTGTGTGGAGAGCTCATGGAACTCTCAATGAGTGCTTGGTGGTTGCCTCACACATAATAAGATTTGTTGGTTGGTTTGGCATGCATCCTACTTTTCCAGAACACACCAAGAGCACACTTTTGGAGGGCTGTTGGCTTTGTACACATGCATTTTGTTATTGTTGTTGTTATGTGTTTGCAGATGCATATAAATTCACATCTCCCCATTTCATTTCAAGCACTGATCTAAATTCAGCCTGTTCGTTTTTTTTTTTTTTTTCTGAGAAACATTTCCCACTTCTGTAAAATAAAACTTATGGATAAGATTTCTTCCCAAGGGGAGAAGGGAAGGCCTAAAGATAGTCATTCAAATGAGATGGGATAATGGGAAGATATTCATGTTGTATCACCAAATTCCAGGTCTGATCCTTAGCATCACTATTAGTTGTTAAGTATAATTCTTCCTGACAACCCTCTGTAGAGAAGTAAGGGGAAGAGAATGAGTTTCCGTCTGTCCCCCCAGTGTTCTAGTTCTGCTTGGCCATTTGAACAAAGGGTTAGAACTTCCCTTTGCTTCATGTTCCTTGGTGAAAGTGACTTCCTGGTCCACCAGAAGCCTTCCCAGAGCAGTTTTGTTGATCCTCCAAGAACATCAAGTTGCTGTCTGTGAGTAGCTCCACAGGGTGTCAAGTGTGAAAAGCAGTCTTCCTCATTCCTTGACAGGATGGACACCAGTGTGTCCACACATAGGGTTGATGCACTATACGGAGGGCTGAGCTGGAGCGAGGTGGCAGCTGGGGATCAGGCACCCTATTGCTCTGCAGGCTGCTCTTGCTGGAGCCCCGAGCTCCACCACGAGTCCCTCTGGGCTGCTGAGCAAGTTGTTCCAAGGGGTCCATCAGTCTGCTCCACACAAGAGTTATAGGAGTTGTAGAGCCCGAGTACCACAGTCAAGACCAACATCGCTGCAGCCATCATCCAGATGACTTGCCAGTGTTGGCAGAGCTTGGGATACATGACTTGTAAGAAATGGACCAATTCTTCAAATTTGCTGTTAATGAAGAAATAGGTGGAGAGTTTAGTATTGTGGGCACATATATGAGGCCCAGGCACACAGTTGTCTGGGGACACTGTCTATGCTTGCTAGACTATGGTTCTCAGACTCACCAGTGTGTAGAATACTTTGACAAAAGTTATGTAGATTACCATAGACCGAATGAATGAGAATCTCCAAAGTTATGGCCAAGTCATCTGTACTTTGTCACATGTGATTTTGCTGCTACTAGTCCATAGTCATGACATGTGGAGCTACTGCTCAAGAACATTATTCCTTGTTTGATGATTCATCTAGTCACACATTCCTCATTTGTTCTTGGAAGGGTTTGATACCTGGACTCCCCCAAGCCCCAGGCTATAAGGTCGGCTTACATATATGTGCATCCAGACAGGATCAGAATCCTTCCTGCTCTCAGCTGTGTCAGCAGTCATTTTCTACATTCTAATACTATGCCTTTATACTAAGTTGTGTGTGACATATTGCTCTCAGTTCCATGTCTGATAGTATCTAACACAGGAGTGTACTGAACTCTCAGAAAGTGCTGTCCAGTGATAAATGACCAGGAGCTCACTTCAAGCCACCCTGTGAGAATCCAGAAGGCAGTGACCTCTAGCAGTTTCTGGGTGGCTTGTTAAAGATGTTTTCTCAGCCTCACTCATATTAATTCTTTAATTTCTCCCTTCTCTCCCTTCCCTCCCTTGACTGTCTCCATAGTCTTCTAACCTTTCCTTCTCTTTCATTCTCTCTTCTTTTTTTTTTAAGATTTATTTTATTTTCATTACAAAGTCAGATATACAGAGAGGAGGAGACAGAGAAGAAGATCTTCCGTCCAATGATGCACTCCCCAAGTGAACGCAATGGCCAGTACTATGCCAATCTGAAGCCAGGAGCCAGGAACTTCTTCCAGGTCTCCCACACTGGAACAGGGTCCCAAGGCTCTGAGCCATCCTTGACTGCTTTTCCAGGCCACAGGCAGAGAGCTGGATGGGAAGTGGGGCTACTGGGATTAGAGCTGGAGCCCATATGGGATCCCGGGGCGTTCAAGGTGAGGACTTTAGCCACTAGGCTGCAGTGCTGGACCCCATTCTCTCTTCTTTACACTGCTCCTCCATTTCTTTTTCTTCCACCCTTTAAAAGACCTATTTGTTTTTATTTGAAAGGCAGATTTTACAGAAAGGAGGAGAGACAGAGAATCTTCCTTTGCTGTTCGCTCCCCAAATGACTGTAACAGCCAGTCTGAAGCCAGGAGCCAAGAGCTTCCTCCAGGTTGCCTACATTGGTGCAGGGACCAAAGGACCTGAGCTACCATCTGCTGCTTTCCCAGGCCATAAGAAGAAAGCTGGATTGGGAGTAGAGCAGCTGAGATATGAACGGGCGCCTACATGGGATGCTGGTGCCATAGGGTAGAGGATTAGCCAACTACACCACATAACAGCTCCTATTATTTCCCATTTTTCCTCTTGCTTCTTTCCCATCTGTCTTTCAACTTTTCTTCACTGTTTGTAACCTAGTGACTATCAAGTTTGACAGCTCTCTTTGGGGAGTCAATTCTAGAGTTTTCTGAGAATCCCTAGCCACCTGCTTTAAGCTAGTGTTCTTTCCTGCCTTTTAATTCCAGTTACATTTGAAAAATATGAAAAATGAGAACACCAAGGATTATGAAACCAAGAAGGTGGAGACAGTGACAAAAGGGCTTCCCAAAAACCCTGAGAACCACAGATAATGCCACACATTGACTATTGAGCTGAGATGAGCTCGAATTCAGAGTTAGTAGAAAATAGATAACTTCCAATGATTGAAAAAAAAAATGCCCTCTTCAGAAAGTAAACAGATGCTAAAGCCCCCAGCAGACAGTGGTTATCTTCCTTCCCATGTAGGAACCTATTAGGTCCTTTGGAACATAATTAAGCAAAATATGAAAGTGCTAAGTGATGTGAAAATTACTTTTGCAAGGATTCGAGGGAGAACTTGGAAATGGAAGCTCATTTTCCTTCAGCTCTGTTTAGATGCTTTGGTTTCCATATAGATGTTATTACATGATAAGACAGAGTCTGTCTTTGAGGCTATATTTTTGCATCCTCCAGTCATACTGCTGGGGCTGTGAGAATCCCACTCTAACCACACTCTTGAGAGGCCTGTAAGGGAGAAGGGTAGGATTTTACTTTGGACCTATTTCTAGTCCATAAAAGAGCTTAGATATTGGACTGGAAGTGCAATTCCTTTAGAACCAGGAAGGGAGCGGGTGGAGCCGGCAGGGAGTATATGGGGGGGGGTGCCCTTGCTGGACAGCTACTCCCACTGGAGAGCGTGGGCTGGGATGGGGGCAGACCAGACTAAGCAGGGCTATAACACCTGTAGCCTCAGGTGGACTAGATCAGGGAAAGACCAGGCTGGGTTGATTATTCCTACTGGTACAAACAAAATTAGAGTGGGTGAGGGTTGTTTGGGCTTAGCCACAGCATCAGCTAGTAGAAGCTGGCACTGGGGGCTAATTCTGTCAAGTCAAACCACAGAACTACCTGGAGAGAACATAATCCAGGAGTGAGAGAGGCCTGGGAGGGAAATAGTGGGCTCCTCCCTCTTGGGTTACCACTCCCATGGAAGGGCACGAAAACCAGGACAGGGGCTGGGGTGTAATGGGGTGTGGGACAGACTGGACTACTGCTATACAAACTGGCAAACCAAGGTAGGGGGCGGGCCTGATGGAGGTTATTGTGGGTCGCTCCAACTAGGCTGTAGCTCCCACTTGTTTATGCAAGGGCCGAGTATATGCTGGGCAGAACCAGGCTGGACTGCAACACCCATTGGTTCCAGTGGAAGTCGGGGCTGGAAACAGAATCAAGCCAGCAATTGTGACCACCAGCTGATCAGGGTGATGGACTGTGCCGGGCCCTGTACTTGCTAGTACATACAAGAATCTGGTCAGAGAACACCTCAGACAAAGTTTCATTGGAGATCTCCCCAGTTGAAATGCTGGACTCAGAACCCTAACCCACAGAAGACAGAACAGGTCAATCAACCATCTCAGCTATATGTTGGCAGCGAAATACGGGGCAAACAGAGACTCTATGATGGACTGTGTCAATCAATGGATTCTTCAAAGACCTCATAGTGCTTGGAGTGGCAAGATTGGCAGCAGTTTATAACTGTTGCAATATCAAAACCACTTGAGCAAGAACCTCGGCGCATACCCTACATCCGGGACCTGGGGAGGGTGGGAAATTGGGTGGGCCTTCTCTCTTAATACCTCCCTTTACACATGAAGGGAACAAAATGGAAATAATAGTCTTACCCACTTTCCTATAGTCCTTGAATCTTTTTACCCTAATTAACTATGTAAAGATTGTCAAAAAATAATAAAAAATTATAATAAAAAAACAAGTAAACAAAAGTTCTTTGAGAATACTTGGAAAAGTGGAGGAAGTAAGCCTAAATACCAGGTTTGAACAGTCAGTGGGAGAAAAGACAAAGTTCTCTCTGTATGTGCGTTTAGACAAAGTTCTATATTGTACCTTTGAGTTCTCATTTGTTCAAAGTCCATTTTAAAAAGAATTTACAACATATTACAACGATTAAGAACTTCAGACAAAAGGTCTTTAGTGTTTGAGATCGAGTCTCTTAAATAAGAGGTTGGCTACTGGGCTTACTTCAGTATTTTTAAAATGCACTAACAAGGGCCCGGCGCAGTGGCACAAGTGGTTAAAGGTCCTCGCCTTGCATGCCTGGGATCCCATATGGGCACCGGTTCTAATCCCGGCAGCCCCGCTTCCCTTCCAGCTCCCTGCCTGTGGCCTGGAAAAGCAGTCAAGGACAGCCCAAGGCTTTGGGACCCTGCACCCATGTGGGAGACCCGGAAGAGGCTCCTGGCTTCGGACCGGCATAGTATTGGCCCGTTGCGCTCACTTGGGGAGTGAATCATCGGATGGAAGATCTTCCTCTCTGTCTCTCCTCTCTGTATATCCGCCTTTCCAATGAAAAAATAATAAAAATAAATCTTTAAAATGCACTAACAAGAATTTATTTTTAAAAAGATTGATTTGGTTGAAAAGCAGAGTGACAGACACAAAGATGGAGAAAAGATACATTACCCCTTCATTGGTTTACTCTCCAAACACTTGTAAATCCAGGGATAGACCAGGCTGAAGCCAGGAGCCAGGAACTCTAATGTGGGTGGCAGTACTCAAATACTTGGGTTATTATCTGCTACCTCCTGGGTGCATTATCAGGGCGCTGGAGCATAAGTGGAGTAGCTGGACTCAAACCAATATTATAATATAGGCTATGGATGTCCCAAGCAGCGGCTTAACCCACTGTACCCAGCCTGACATGGGGCTTTTAATGACTTTAGACCTTGTTAATGAGATGCCAAACTTTTCCTGGGTGTTAATGTGCAAGTGTTGTAGGCCACTGTAGCTCTAAGGGACTCAGGAAGAGATGAGGATAGCCTGGTTTTAAAGACACCAGCTCTCAGCCCCAGTCCAGCTTTGGATCACAAATGGGGAAGGGTCCTTCTGACCAGGGGTGGGCAACTTAACTGACAGTGACATTGGTCTTTCTGGAGAAGAGGAAGCCACAAGGGGCCTGAAAAGGTTAATTCAATTCCCTGTTTGGAAGGTTGGAGACCTATGTCTGGCATCCATGTCCTGAACTAAAGCATGTTTTCAAAACTAAAAAGCAAATGTAAGAGACAGCAAAGTTGGAAAGACAGAATGAGGCCTCTCAGGACCTGTGGGACAAAGAGGATACTCCTTGGGCAATGGATGCTGCAGGTGGCCACTACCAAGCACTGATGACCAGAGGCTGGACAAAAAAAAGGAAACAAAGCCCTATTTCCTCTGGGATTTCATGCAAGGGAAGGAGCTACTTGTAGCTCAATCAAATTTTTTAGATGCCTTATCTCAGTGTCTTATGCATTGAGCCCTGCGCTTTGTATACCAGACTGTTTATATTCCATGTTCTCTCCTTATTCAATCTTCTTTGTTTCTTCTCAGTGTTTGGAAGTTTTAAAAGTTGCAGCCTTTCTTAGTTTATTAAGAGATGCATAGGAAAAGACAGGCTGCAGGCTTACCTGCTGGGAGATGTGGTGGAAGGCAATGTGGGGGTCTGAAAAGTGACAGCAACAGACCCCAACTACTTACAGCAGAGGTTCCATTTACGAGTGTGTGTGTGTGTGTATGTGTGTATGTGTATGTATTTACTTATTTACTTGAGAAGCAAAGGAGGAAAGAGGGGAGAGGAAATGTGGTGCTTCCATTCCTGGTTCACTTCCCCAAATGCTCAGGAGGACTTGAATTGGGCTAGACTACAGCCAGGATCTGGTAACTCCATTCAGGTCCTGTCCCATGTGGGAGGCAGGGATCCAAGTGTGTTGGTAGGAAGCCGGAGTCAGGACGGGAACCTAAGCTTGAACCCAGGAATTTCAATATGGCATACAGGTCCCAAGGAGCCACACAGCCACCAGGACTGCACTTTCATTGTTAAACTTGGAGGCAGGTGGTATATCCTAACAGGTTTGTGTTCAACAATGAAGCATTTTCCTCAGTTTTCCTTCCCTTCATCTGTGGTGTTGGACCTGAAGATTGAGCCCTCTCACTCTGGTTGAATCTTCCACCTGCGGGGCACCACTAGCGGCTCCCCTGTGCTTTGAGGCGTAGCTGTTTTGCTTCTGATCTTCCCCTTACTACCTTTTTTATTGCCAGCACATGACTTCCTGAGTTTGCTCTCAGTGAGACCCAGACACTTACCCCATGCCAAGTTCAACAAGTAATTATATAATTTATTATTCTGTCTGGAGCTGCCCTAGACCTTAACATAGGCATATAAAAACAAAGATTTGTGAAGTATATTCTAGTCTCTTAAAATACATTTCAAAAATAAAAGTTCCTAATTGGATGTTCACAGGGCTCTGCAACTTACTCATATAATCAATATTAAAACAACAAACAAAATTTAATGTGGATTACTGTAACTAATAGAGACAGTAAAGTAGAATATATGAAATTAGGGCTGTCTGAAAATCCAGCTCATTGATGTGATCATTGTGTCTGTGGGTCAGAGTTTATCTTTTGTTTGGGCACCAGTCTGTTCTGCCCCAAGCATGTCCTTGAAGGGGATAACCCTGACCCTCTGGGGCTGAGACCCTATTCCTATACCTAACCACATGAAATGCCCTGGAGGTAGGGCATCCTACTACATCCTAAAGGCCCGGTGGGACTACTAGCCGTGCAGGATGCCATAGCTATACTCTTCTTAACTGCATGTTACATCATCCTTCTTATTTAGGAAAGAATATACTTTAAATACAAAGTAATTTTCAAGAAAAAACCAAGCACTCCTAATTAAAAGTAAAGGCACTGTCCAGATGGTTGAGCTTGTTGCCCTGTTGGAGACTTTATCTTTGCCACTGAGCTGAGTCAGCCCCTTCTTCCATGTGTCCCCTGAGCCCCTGCTCTTCAGGCCAGCTCCCTTGGCCTGGATCCGTTCATGTAGATGACTAGGAAGTGAGCTGGTCATGATGTGGTTGAGTTCTTCACCCTTTCTGGCTCCTGCCCATGCCCACCACTGACTCCTGAGTTTCAGAAAACACCCATTGTTAACTATTTTGGCTCCTTGGGATCTCCTCTCCTCTCTGCACTCCTCCCATCCCCCACACACCGCCAATGTAAGTGTTTTCTTGGCTTCTTTGGCTACTAGTGCGGGCCTGGACCCATGCTACCCTGGCCTGGCATCTCCAGGGACTTTGTGCAATTAAGTGATGAGGTGAACTGTGAGCCATTTCTACAGAGGCAAGCCAAGGGTCCCGACAGGCTTCCAACCTGCGCCTGTGGTCCTTCTCCTCCTCCTCACTCCCCTCGACCTCTTCAGCTTCCTCGGGACTCTCACTCTTCTGTTCCTCCTCCTCTTCCCTCAGGTCTTGAAGTTCTTTGGTCTTCTTCAGACCTTCCTGGTACCTAGAGGACAAAAAGGAACAACTGAGTCTGGGAAGGCCAGTCTTTAGAGCATCTTTTCCTTAGTTGGGAGGGGAGTACCTCTGATCATGACGCACTTCCTGTGATCCCACATAACAGGAAAACACCGGGAAGCTCCATCGAACCCCAAAGTGGCACACGTCAGTATAATTTCCCCTACTCCTCAGTCATCCTTCCTGTTTATGGGACAGTGTGACAAACCTGACAGGGAAAAATATGTGGTCCAGGCCTTCCTGATGGGTTCTTATCCTACAAAACATTTTGCAGGGATAAGATTATACTTGCTCTTTGTGTAACTTTGGAGCTTCAGTTTCTTCTCTGGAAAACGGACTGTGTCATCCCCACATTACAGGGCCTTGGAACTTTTTTTTTAAAAAACAAGCACCTAGAGAAGTACTTAGAAAATGTTTACAGTCAATGGAGAAGTCTCCTGGCCCTGCACCCCCACAATCCCCCGCTCTGTGCACACTGAGCATACAGGAAAGTTGTATGTGAAAAGACTCATTTTCCATGCAAAACCTCTTTGAGCTGCAACAGACTGTGTACAGGTCCTACAGATGTGGGCTTAAGACCACCAGTTTGGCTGGGAAAACCCAGAAACCCATGGATTCTGTGTTGGGTTGAACTATGGGGACGGGAGAAGTTCAACCATGGTTGGAGGGCATTCTCTACCTGGCATCTAGAGCTTGGGCCCTACACAGTGCTTATCCTCTCCCATGATTGACAGCTGGCCAGAACTGCTCACTTAGTAAAGGGGACAGCTGGAAGTGGAGGGAACTCATGGAGGAGGAAGTCTTAGGAAGCACAGCTACAGCTGTCTGGTGCTGTTAGCAGCAACATGAGTGTCCCAAGAATATGTAAGGAAGCCTCAGGAATCCACCCTAGGCACCTGCTTTGCAGACTATTCTAGGAAGTGGTGTTTGAGTGGCTTTCTGACAAAAAAAAAAGACAGTCTCATTATTGTCGCCACATACCCTCTGACTCTGCCTCCTTCTCTCCTTCCTGTGGAATGATCTTGCTCTTTCCTGTGAGGTTCCTTCCTGAGGCAAGGAGGTCCAGAGGGCACTGGTTGCGTCTCCAACACCTCTAAGCAATAGGAAAGGCAGGGGAGGAAATCTCCCGAGACCAGCCAGGTGCCCCCAGTGACTTTGCTCTGACTCACCCCTTGTTGTAGGCTTCTTCCTCCACCTTGGACTTGGTCTCTTGGCTCACCTCCTCCAGGCAGCTTGGGGGTGGCACGGGTGCAGAAGCTTCACACTCAGGATCCCCGTTTGTCTTTCCACTAATGGGAAGGAGGACGTACAGGGCATCATTACAAGGGAAGTGGATTTTGCATCTGGAAGCAAAATCCTGTCTCTGGCTCAATTTCTGGTCAGACCTGTGGAAACTCAGACTCTCTGAAAAGCTTTCAGATTCTCTTCAGTCCCTCTACTGAGAAACAAGATTTTATAAAGCACCAACACTGCACCAGCTCCCCCTTTTTCTCATGCTCCCAAATCCACCTTTGTTCTTACTCCAGCAGTGCTGTGAGAGGACAGACAGCTCTTGGTACCTCCACCATAGTGAGATGAGCCCAAACCTCCAGCTCACCCTATTCCTATGGCTCATCTTTTGCTTCACAATCCCTGCTCATTCCTCTAGACACACACTGAGCCAGACAGGTGGAGGCATGTGGCAGCATGCTGTAGATACACTAGAGACTAAAGAAACAGGTTTTGGCAACATGGAGCTTAGCAGAAGAGAAAGCTCTCCAAAGAGAAAAGCAAAAAATACATAAGAAATCATAAATAACAGCTCTCATGAAAGAGGCTGTGCAGTGACAATAAATAGCAAGAAGAGAACTTTAATTTTTAAAAATGTTTAAAGTTGGACCTGGCATGATAGCCTATTGGCTAAAGTCCTCACCTTACACACACAGGGTTCCCATTTCAGCTCTGGTTCTAATTCCAGTGGTCCCGCTTCCCATCCAGCCCCTGTGGCCTGGGAAAACAGTCAAGGACAGCCCAAAGCCTTGGGACCCTGCACCTATATGGGAGACCTGTAGGAGACTCCAGGCTTCTGGCTTTGGATTGGCTCAGCTCCAGCCTTTGCGGCCACTTGGGGAGTGAATCATAGGATGGAAGATCTTTGTCTCTCTCTGTCTCTCCTTCTCTTTGCATGTCTGACTTTGCAATAAAAAATAAATCTTCACAATGTTTAAAATTATTTTTAAGAATTTCAATTTTATTTGAAAAGTAGAGAAACTGATTGGTCTTCTATCTGCTTGTTCATTCCCTAAATGCTTACAACTGCCTGGAGCATCCAGTGCTCACTTCTGTAGAGAACCAGAAACCATGGACTAGGCTCTGTGACTGCAGACTTGTTAAGAATCTGTAACTCTGTGATTCCCACATGGTTGTCAGTCTCTCATTGAAAGGGTGACATGGTAGAAGGAGTACATGGCAGGAAGCAGGAGAGTGTTACATAACTCGAAGGACCTGTAAACTCAAGGGAGAAAATGCAGAGCAAATCCGTAGACCAATCTGGTGGGAGTAGCTGAGTAATAAGCTGGCAGTTGTACATGCTGACAGATGAGGAAAACAGACAGTGTCTGGAGGTGGGGAGTCCAGGCGCTTGTCTACTGAAAGGGGCCTTATATACATATTCCCTGCCAGGTCAAGAGAAACCTTTCCAACAGTCATGAGAAATGAGGGACTAAAGCTGTCCTGAGGCCGGGATGAAGGAGAACTCAGGTATATGTTCTACCAAGTGAAGAAAGACACTAGGAAAATATTCTGAGAGGTGGCAGCTGTGATCCAGATGTTTTCCAGCAAGCAAATGAAGAAATTTGGAAAGTCAGTTAAGAACACCTCTGAGTACACAGAAACAGCCTGCCTGCTGTGGCTGAGGATAAAAAAAGACCTGCCTTGCATGGATACCTAGACGAGTTAGGCATCCCAGACTCTGTGCATTGCCATGCAGTACTCATCTCTTTCCTGCTCCCTAACAGGAACATGATTTATTCAAGAATTTGCTGTTTTTGCAGAAGTTATTTTGCTTCACAGGAAGCCCACCTTCTCCTCAACCCCAAGGCATAGTTTCTGCCCTTAATGCCAATCCTGTTCCAAAACTTTGTTCCCAAAATTGGTTCCAAATTTCCCAATGAGACAAGAGGGAAGATGGTGAAAGGCATCCGAGTTCATTCCCAAGAAAGAAAGGTAGAGGGAAATGGTGCTTTTCTTCCTCCCAATATTTGTCTCTCTGGTTGGGATACCTGGAATTAACAGCTGTTTGCTATGAGCCCGATGAAGAAGTCAATGTACAAAACAGACAAAAGCAAGGAAGTTGTTGAGAGCAGAGCTGGAGCCCTGCAGTGCCACACCCAGAGCAGCCCCACCTCTGGCCTTCCTGGCACAGCCTGCTGAGTTGGGGCTGTGCTTTAAGGGCACCTCAAAGGATCACAGTTTCAGAGGCTTTAATCTTCACTGGGCTCCACTTACCTTCACACATGGCATCCTCCTGGCCCAATTCTGGAAGCTGTATCTGAAATAGCTGTACATCTCAGGGTCCCATTCATTCCCCTAGAACCTAATTTACTTTCCATCTCATTTGAGGGACGATGGTAGTTGAAGATATTATCTGCTGAGATCTCCAATGTTAGCAGGAAAATCAATAAACTTACTTTTCCAAAAGTGCAGGCAGTGAGGAGGCAACAGGCAGGTTGCTTTTCCCATTGGTTGATTCTGACTGGATAGGGAACAGGAGACAGAAGGGAGGATTGGCAATGGAATAGAGAAGCCAGAAGTTCTAATCCTCTGATGATGCTGGGAAGGAGCATCTGCAGCCACTCCTGTTTCCTTTCCTCCCTTTATAATATGCACTGGAGCCCAGGTTTAATTAGCCTGGACCCTTGGGCCTTCCCTATCCTCCTTCCCTCAGCACCCTTTTCCCTGGGACATTTGCAACTTGCTCCTTTCCTTCTCCCCTTTTTTTTCTAAGATTTATCTGTTTGTTTCAAAGTCAAAGTCAGAGAGGTAAAAATTGAAAGGTCTTCTGTCTACTGATCCACGCCCCAAGAGCCACAACAGCCAGGACTAAACCAGGAGTTTCATCCAGGTCTCCCACATGAGTGGCAAGGGCCTAGGAACTTTAGCCATCTTCCACTACTTTTGGCAGGCCATTAGCAGGAAACTGAATTGGATGTGGAACATCCAGGACACGAACTGGCATTGTTATAGGATGCAGAGACTTTAACCATTGTGCTACAGCACCAGCCCCCATTTCCCTCTCTTTAAGTCTTTCTGAACCAAGAGAAGAGTTTGCATATTGAGGCTCCATTCCAGAGGGGAACCATAATTTCTTCCTCTGTCCTAATTACTTGGGTATGTGAGAACACCAGAGACCTTTACCAGATGTGGTCCCAGGTTCTCTGGGAGAGATTCCCACAAGCCATTCACTGTTTCTAGAGCAACAGACCCAAGTTCAAATCTTAGGAGACACCTGTCATTATTAAATGCTCAAGCCATTGGAAACTTTTGTTTCCATGTTGTGTTGATGCAATAGACTCAGTGTAAGCAGTGGCTCTCCATTCAGGCTGCACATTAGAATCCTACGCACTTCAGAAGATTGTTTAAGCATGGAAAGGATTACTGTTTGTAAGGAAAGCTCTGAGCTGCCACCACCTTGTCCAAGGATATCAAGACCACTTCTTGGAGCAGTGGAGCACATGTGGCCTGGTCCATAGTGAGCTTTTTCAACCCACTGCTCAGATGATATGCTGGAAATTTTCTGTTTTTGTTGACCTTGTCCCTATCTGGGGTATACAGTGGATAAACATGAAGGAAAGAAAAAAGGTCTGGAAGGTAGACATTGTCACACTCACCAGAACTGGTAAGGAGGGAATGGAGGAGGAGGTTGGAGACTGGCCGGGGAGATTCAAGGCATTAAACTTGGGAACCACAGCAACACTGACCCTCCGGCGGGGCATATTCTGTGGGAAGAGAAGTGAATGGGTTCAATGTCTTGGAAGTATCAATATCCATGGCTGAGAAGGGCCCAGAAAAAGCCTATTGGTGTCTAATTGCGTGATAACATGCCTTGCATATTTTGGTTTTGAGGTAGCAATGGTGCTGGGAATTGGCGTAGAAAGAGTAGCCACAGTTAAATTTTCTACTGATGCTGAGTGATCTCTCAACATATCCCTGTTTTAGCTTGTGGGATCCTGGAGATGTACAATGAAATGACCTGCAGTCTCTGAGTGACACCTGGATCTTTGTATAAACTGCCTGCAACAGCATCAGGGCTATGCACTTCGTTTTTAGTTAACGGACTTAAAACCAGGCAAACCATGTATGTACAAGAAAGATGAGATCTCATAGGCTAAGCTGACAAGTGTGGGAGCTTGAAAGAAACTGTTCAGAGGTGCTCATTTAAGATTGACTGACTTCTTCAGTGACCATAGAAAATTTGTGATTGCCCTAGGAACCCTGGTATTCTTTGGACATGCCTACCTTTCCCATTGTGAGGGACATGGATCGCGCCGTGCGGGGAACCCCATCTTCTGCAACAGGAGAGAACAGAGAACAGAAGTCAGGTAAGTTTCCAAACTGGCAGTGCAGAAACTCAGCCAAGGGACCTTTCAGCCAGATCTGGCTCCCAGTGAATGGTCCAAGGATCTGAACATTGAAGACACTGAGTTTGGCACTTCACTCTCTGGAACAATCATCTGCAGAGTGGGCTGTCCTAACCCTACCGGGCTTAGTCCACACTTAGCCTGAGTGCTTCCCTATCTCATCTTCATCTAGCACCGCAGTCTCTAGGGAATGCCCTGCACAGTGTGTAGTAGCAATGCTGTGGCTTCCCAGCTCACTTCACGCCCATTCTAGGGACTATACAGAAACACTCTGAGCAAGGAAGGGGCAGGATCAGAATACTTATGACACAGGGGACACAGGGCGTTTCAGGAATCACCTCCCAAATGATTCAAAACAAAGAGTTACCCTCCCAGGGTTTTCTTCTTTAGCACAGACATTAAGTGATATGGTTAATGTAAGCCAATTGGCACCACACCCAGATAATACTGATAGCAGGAAATGTCTGAATTTGCACAGAGAACATGTGCAAACTCAGTTCATGTGACTCAGCAGGACCATCACCATCCAGCCTGTATCCCACACATGGATACCTGATGTCCATGTATCTAAGGTATGTCTCTTGACAAGCATATAATTATTCTTTCCTAGTCTAATCAGAGGTTCTCTAATAACCAGCAGGTTTATACTTTATGATTATTGATATTTGTGTTATTTCTGCCACCTTATTTTATACTTGTATTTACCATGATTTTCCCTCTAATTCCTGTTCTACTCCACACACTAGACTGAAGAGTTGTGAGCTTTGGTGTATCCTCGTAACTTGTAACAGCCCCCTCCAGCTTTAATTATACTGTTTATCACTTGTATTTTTCCTTTTTATATTCCTAAATTAGTCATAATTGTTTTTACAGTGGATACACATTTAGATTTACTCAGATGCTTACAAATGTCTTTGATCAACGTTCTGTTTTGTATCATGTTCCTCTCTTGTGAACTCAATTCATTCTCCCCTCAATACATCCTTCAGTTGTTTTTTCAGTAAAAGTCTCTGAGAAGCACACTTTTCCTTGTTGCTTTCTCAAAATGTCCTCACCTAGCCTTCAATTGTGTATGCTAGTTTAAATGGTTGTATTAGATCTGTAGGCTAACAGTTATTTTCTCTCAGTATTTTGACAAGATCACTCTGTTTTCTTCTGTAGTATTACTGCTTTTGAGAATTGCCAGTTATTTGTAAATAATCTTCTCTCTGGTTACTGTGAAGATCTTTGCTTCGTCTTTGTTATTCTACATCTTCTTTTTGATGTCTGTCTCCTACATGGAATTTGTTAGGCTTTGTGAACCCAACAATATGGGTTTATGTTTAGTTCTGGAAAATTACCTTTATTCTGAACTCCATCCTATATATCATGCTACTTTCATGTTAATAATCAGTTTACCTAGTAAACTATATTTTTGGTAAGTTCCTCAAGTTTATCTTCCAGTTAACCGTTTTCTTCCTTCAACTATCTAATCTAATGGTTTAATCAATCAGCATAAGCTAGGTAATGCTACAATAATAAACAATCAATCAAACTTAAAAATGAAGACCATTGGTCTTTGTCTTTAAAAAATCTCGAGATATTAATGACTTACAACTACAAAGATTGGTTCTTACCTATGCTACATGTCCATTTACTTATAGTATTTATTTCTTTGAAAAACACAGTTGCAGAGACAGAGAGGGAGAGAGAGAACTCTTTAATCCATTGGTCCACTCCTCAAATGGCTACAACAGATGGAGGCGGTACATGCTCAAGCCAGAAGGCCAGAATTCCATCTTGATCTCACATGGGGCTAGCAAGGGTCCAGGTACTTGGGCCATCATCTGTTGCTTTCCTAGTTACATTAGCAGGAAGCTGGAAAGGGAGCAGAGCAGTCAGGGCTGGAATCGGGACTGCAAGATGAGGTGCCCGGCATGGTGAGCGTGGAGTAATGTGCTCTGCCCTGGCGCCAGCCCCTCCATTTACCTCAGAGTTGACACACTCACTTCCTCACTCAGGACTTTCTATCTGGTATTCCCGGGTAGTGGTGGTTATCATGTCAAGAGGAAGAAACCCCAGGCAAGTGACCTGTTCCTTCTGACAGTTTTCTTGGGGACACCATCTTGCTGTCTTTTCACATTCCCTACATATTGCATCATCCCTCCTGTTACTTCCTAGGAGGAAGGAGAGAGTATCTTCCTACTGCAACATAGGGTGAAACAGAAAAACTTCTTGTTTCTCTGCTGGTTGGTGGTGATTGTCTTATCTAAATCTTAACATACAGTCCTCAGAAGATCCCAACTCTGTGGACATCTGTGTCACTTTCCCAGCACGGGTGTCCCAGGCCACATCTCAGATCACGCGTGAGCAAACCCACATCAGCTTCATCGCAGAGGCGAACACTTGCCGCTCTTGCTCTCCAGGGAGCTGCAGAGCCAGCTTGGTTTCAGTTCACTTTTCTTAGATCTGGGTATTTCAATGTCATTTATTATGGATTCAGCTGTTCTTTTAGACTGATGTTTGCTTCATTTTGTCCAGCAGAAATTCCTATTTGTGGTCAATAGTTTTTCAAGTTTTCCAGTCAGCTAGAATAGCAGAACTAGAAAAATGTTCTTTATTTGTGAAAAGCTTAAATAAATTTATAACATAACAGTCTTAGCAAGTATGCAAATATAAGTAGAGAATTTACACAGAAGTAGAAATACAAACACTAAAAATTTGGAAAGGTAAATAATTAGTTTTACAAGTTAAAGGGCATCATTTTGGCTTATCAAAGTCACAAATATTGTTTAAAGAACAAAAATTGTCAATGGCACTTGCATTTAGGATTACTCTAACAGATTAAATGAAAATATCAATGGGTTACTCGAAAGTATTTAAGACTCTATAAATATTTATTTCCTCTGAACCAGGAGTTATACTTCTAGAATTCTATAAGGGGCCTTCTATGAGCACATAGGTTCACAGAAAATGCTGTGCATCTATTTAAAGATTTTTTTGGTACCAAAATAAACTCATCTTTCAACTCTATTTTCCATGACTTTTTTTCAAAGATTTATGGTTTTTTTTTTTGAAAGTCAGAGAAGAGAGGAGAAGAGACAGAGAAGATGATCTTCTGTCTATAGATTCACTCCCTAAGTGGCAGGGATGGCCGGAGCTATGCTGATCAGGAGCCAGGGGCTTCCTCTGGGTCTCCCATGCAGATGCAGGGTCCCGAGGCTTTGAGCTGTCTTTGGCTGCTTTCCCAGGCCCCAAGCAGGGAGCTGAATGGGAGTGTGGTTGCTGGGAATAGAACCGGCACCCATGTGGGATCCAGGCACATTCAGGTGAGGACTTTAGCTGCTAGGCTACTGTACTGGGCCCATTTTCATGATTTTTTTAAAGCACCCTTGTAGCTTGAGGAAATAATCTAAATTGCAACCAGCATGTTGTATATTCAAATAAAATTTATGGGGTTTTTTTTGTGTTAACGTTTTTCTTAAATAAAAGCTAATTCATGTCACTCTGTTCTTCAATATCGGCCTTAGACAGAGACTGCCAGAAGTCCTGTAAAGATCTTAACAAACACTCCGAGCAACTGGGCACAGCGTATCTCAGACACACCTGCTGGGTGAGCTCTGGTCCGTCCACACCAGCCCGAGGAAGCCACAGCTTAGGAAAACAACTGGAACCCAGGAGCAAACGTCCGGAAAACATTGACTCATCACTCAAGACTTGGCTGCCTTTTCCTTCCTATTGTAAGCATCTTGTCTGCCAGCCTGCATGTGGGACTGTACAGAGTGCTCCCTCAGAATCTGACCCTTTCGCACTAGCACTGGCTGCCCTGCCCTCCCCAGGCTGGAAGCCTGTGAAGCTGGGCTTGTGGGTTCCTAACTTCCACACTCCTACAGCAGGTGGGGGACATCGATACTGCTCATCAGTGGGTAGAGGATGAATGAATGAGACTCATGGCTGGCCGTTCATCTCATAAATCTTGGGTATGTGGTCGTTTGCAAGGGGCCTTGAACTTTGCAAGGCAATAATTCAGGAGCCTGCATTTGTATTTCTTTGGCAGAAACTTCCTTAGCTTCTGCCACTGACAGGACTGTTTGTTAGCGGCTCTGAGGCACGTGGGTCCGGAGCCATGCTGCCGAGATCCAAAGCAGACAGTTTGGAGCGTGTGCACGCTGCCTTCAGACTCTGGGTAGTGTCACGGCGATTCCCCAGGAAACTTGTGAAACGTCCTGTTTATAAAGACTTCTCCATCTGTTAAACTTTCTGCACTTTCCCTCCTCCTGCTCTTATTAACACGGATGTTTGCATTCCACAGAGATTCCTGTGGCTGAAAGTTGTGTTTGCTCCTGCTAGCCTCTCCTCAGCTGGAGCCCAAACCCTGACAGAGCCCAAGGTGAGATCCCCGCCCCAGGCACCACCCCGCATTTCACTCTGGGTTGAGTGAGATGATCCCGATGGTCCACTGTGAAATCAGAAATTATTTTCTAAAAATAAAATCTGGCCATGCCATGTGGAATATGCCCATCAATAATCCTCACTGCCTAGAGGAAAGAGGCCTGAACTGTTAGCATGGCCTGACATGGGGTGCCCACCCCCGCCCACATACACACACACTGCAAACCTGTTTCATATTCTCCCAGTCCCCATTCTCTACCAGTGATTTTTTTTTTCCCAGCTGGGATATATTTCTTCCTCTTGCCTGGTAAACTCTTATGTTTAATATAAAACAATGACCAGATGCCATCCTTCTGTGAAGCCTTTCATGAAGCCCTCAAGCAGAATCCAGTGGCCCTTCTTCTGTGCCCCTATAGCAATCTTTAAAACATTTGTCCTGCCCATGCATTGGTGTTCATGTAAGTAATAATTCGTTTAACCTGGCTCTCACTCTACTCTCAGGTCCTTTTTCTGTCTCCAGACTGTTGAAGTAGTATCTTCATGGGATCCCTGGTGTCTGCTTATCCCACAGTGTAATTGCCACACCTGTTAGAGGGAACCTTCCTAAATTATACAAATGATCATGTCATTTCTCTGATTCAAACGTTTGGTTAGATCTCTAGTTCCTTCATAGTAAAGTCCAAATTCCTTAGCAGTACTGTCTAAAAGGAAGTCACGAAACAAAGACATAGGGTTTGGTGTCATTCTAACAAAGTGGAGGAAGTTCTTGGCAGCATATGTGCATGGTCAGCTGCTATGAATAGTTATCCTGAGAGTCAAAGTCATTTAGGGGCCATTTACATTTCCTTGTCCTAGGGTCACTGGAGCAGCTGCTGGGAGGCCCTGTGGGCAGCACTGAGTAGGAGCAGGGAGCCTTGCTCAATCCCAAGTAGGCCTTAGGGTTGCTCTGAAAGCCACTGCCGGCCCATGGAAGTAGGGGTTTGGGTCCTTACCAGAGGGGCCACAGCTGCGGCTTGAATTCTGATTTGCAAGTTTTTTAAACTCCATGAGCTCTGCATGGTCCTTCTCATATGTCCTCTTCAGATTCTCCACGTACTGCATCATTACTTCTGTTGCTTTCGACATACGCTTCTCCTGTAGGGCCAGGAGGGAGAGAGTAAGTGGGAGGATCAGCTGGAGGAAAGGTTTGGCCAGTACTTATTTGTCCTGAACTAGGAGAACAGGAAGGCTACAGCAAGGCATCCGATATGACTGTAGCCTCTGGGAGTCTGCTGTCTGCGTGGTGAGCTGAGAGTTGGGCTGGGGAGAATGAAGAACACGCAGCTCTGCTCTGGAGCTGATGAGGGGAGACGGGGAGGTGCTTCTGTTTACATGCAGACTTGGGTGAAAAAGAGCATTCGGGCCAGGAACCCCAGGAGTCCAGAGGCAGAAAATCAAAGGGTGTGTATACAGGGGAGGATTCATGTTTAGGGGAGTAGAAGAGGGGCTATCACAGACAGTTCTGGGACAACAGGCCTAAACCAAGGCTGTCCAGCAAACCCACACGGTACAGGCCAGTCCACTTATGCAGCAATCAGCAGGTAGTTGGTTTAGTTATAAGACAAAAAGGTGAGTCAGGGCTGATTTTTGAAGGAATCTTGACAGAGAAAGGAATCTAGATTTATTCTGACTGAAAAGAAGAGTCACTGAATGGGTGGAAGTGACACAATCAGGTCACAAAGGAAACGGGACAAGACTAGTGGCAGTAAGAGAAACAGGGAAGGACGTATGAATGCCCAGTTGTCCAGGCGAACCACAGAGAAAGGCAAGAGCTTGCACAAAGTGGCCAGAGTTGGGAAAGTGTTTGGAGAAGTGTAAAGATAAGTAAGGAACACATGGACCAAGAAACATGTCAGAAGTTTATACAGAATGAAATCATTTTTCTCCGATCTGACACTGTATTCTGCCTGATCATTGCAGGACTGTCTAGTAACTTCCCTGAAAAAGGGTCTTCACAGCCACTTCCCCAGAGTCCTCCCCTGTGGTGCTGCTCCCAGCTGGGGTGACTCCGTGTCCACACTACTGACTCAGCTGTGCTTGCTCCAGGGGAACACAAGGGTAGGACAAACCACTGTTTGTCCTCCTTTCATTTCACTGGCCCAGAATATACATCGTCTCATGTAGCAAGTACAACAGGACATGGCCCAGGTAATAGGGACAGCAACAACCATCCCCATGGCAAAGGCCATCGTTATCATGTCATCCTCCTTTGTTAGAAGAAAAAGATGAAATGCCTGGAGCTCAGTAACTGGCCCCAGGTCACAGGCAAATGCAGGGCGGACCCAGGGTTGGAACTCAGGCAAGGGTGGTCCTGCCACACCCAAGTGTAGCTCGGCATGCTGCAGGACTTCTGATCTGGGCATGACCCGCACTGTTACCTTTCTGACTCACTATATATTGCATTGCAGGGCTATATATATATATATACATATATATATATATATGGAAAATGGAATTAAGAGACAAGTTTATTCTGACGCAAGACATTTTGAAATCCATCCATAGTGATTCCATGATGTGAACATTTTTCCAGAAACTTTTTGAACACTCCTTATATGTAAGTAAACAGTATGTTCATCGTAGGGCTTCTCAAAACCAACACAGATCAGAAATCTCCCAGAAAGGAGTGTCACACCCAGTGTCTCCCAAACTCCTGTGTCCCCAGAGAGCTTTCCTCAAGAAGCACCTCGAGAGGTGAGTAGTTCACCAAGAGTACTCTGAGGGGTGAGGGCTGGCCCAGAGGAAGTCACCGATCCTGCAGGTGGAGCAGGGCCAGTCAGCAAGCCTCACCTGGCGCACAGCCCCCACGGCCTCGGCTCGGCTGGAGAGGCGGGCGGCCAAGCGATGTAGGACGGCAATGTCCTCCAGCAGCTTCTGGTAGGTCTCCCGGTGCTCACAGTGGTGCCACAGTGATGCTGAGGACTGCGGGGAGAAGCAGCATCACCAGGCATTCTCACGTAAGGCTAGAGACTGCTGTCCATGTGCCCCATCCCCCAGTGCAGAATCTGAAATGCTAGCCCTGCAATGCAATGGCATCAGGAGGTGGGGCCCTTGGGAGAGGATTTAGGTCATGAACATGGAGCCCCCGGGAATGGGATGAGTACCCTTTAAAAGAGACCCCAGGGCCCAGCACAGTGGCCTAGCAGCTAAAGTCCTCGCCTTGAACATGCCAGGATCCCATATGGTTGCTGATTCTAATCCCGGTGACCTCGCTTCCCATCCAGCTCCCTGCTTGTGGCCTGGGAAAGCAGTCAAGGACGGCCCAAAGCCTTGGGACCCTGCACCCATGTGGGAGACCTGGAAGAGGCTCCTGGCTCCCAGCTTCAGATCAGCGCAGCATCGGCCATTGCACTCACTTGGGGAGTGACTCATCGGACAGAAGATCTTTCTCTCTGTCTCTCCTCCTCTCTGTATATCTGACTTTGCAATAAAAATAAATAAATCTTTTTTTAAAAAGAGACCCCAGAGTTATTTCTCTTTCTGCAACATCAGGGTAGAAGAGTTGGCAGTTGGAAGCCCCAAAGAGGTCCTTTATGAGACCCAGACCCAAGTGGCACTCTAGTCTTGCACTGTCAGCCTCCAGAACAATGAGAAAGAAGTGGCTGTTGCCCATGCCACCCCATCAGTGGACAGGGCCTCACTCATCCCTCAGGAGCTCTCCAGGGCTAGGAGGCCTTGCCTACCGCCTTGGGGTCAGCAGGCTGCCGCATCTACACCCTGACCCTTTTCAGCCATCCAGAGAAGATTCTTCAGCTCATGGCCTTGGCCCAGTTTCTCACTTTAGGAGACTCCATTTAGTGATTGAAAGAAGCATGACACCTCCTACCACCTTTGGGGCCAGCCCCTGCTTCATAAGGATTCCTCAAAATCTGGCCCCACAATTACCGTAATGGACGCTTTGAAGTTTTCCAGTTCCTTCTCAGTGTTCTCTTCTGTCAGGTTGCGTTCCCTTTCAGCCTGGTTAATTCTGGCTTCCAGAGTGTAGCTGTCATTTCTAAAGGCCAAGGACAGTTGTACAAACACGTTCTGTTGGGAACAAGAGTGTGGGAGAGGTGCTAGGACGAGTTACTGTAGGGCACAAGGCTGCAGTCGCATTGCTTGTGTGTGCCCCAGGAACCAGTTGCCAAAGCAGCCACATCACATAGGAGATGGTGAGCTAGAACCCAAGGTCCCTCCCGGGACCAGAGAACCAAGTGCATTCTACCAAAGAACAGTAACTCTGCTTTCTGTTGAATTTCAGGAACATCCTGTTTTTGAGTTTAGGCAAGCTCAGGCCAGTGCAACTGATTGTGTAAGCAGTGTGAATTTATCCTGTAGTTTCTTTGCTTGACAAATTTTGGAGATGTTGCATGAAACCATTGCATTTAAAGAAACGCCATTTCAGATTTAGGCCTGTTGACTTAAAGCAAACTTCAGCCAGCATGCAGCCTGAGTATTATGAATTCTACATCAGTAGCACCTCTAAGAAGCAGCTAAGAGATTAAATAAAGCCAGATGTGATTATGTTAGGATAACTTTTTCTGGATAAATAAGTTTTCCATGCCCAGAGTACAGCCTTCCAAAAATGAGTTTTTAAAAGATAATATTGATCAAAAATAGATTTCCTAGAAAAATAGGAAGCTGCTAAGGGAGGAGAAATAGATAAACTCCAAACAGGAAGGAAGCTGCACTCTTCAGTTTTACAGCCTTCATTTGCCCTGAGTCAAGAAGTAGGAGATTTACACTCTGGGCCGGCTCACTGAAACCTGAAATTTTGTAGATTATATAACCTTGCAATGGGAGGCAGATCTCCCCAGATAGAGCTGAAGTCCTTCAGCTGACCTCGTAATGATGATGGCAATATTGAGCACTTACTGTATGCCTGAACTTGAATGAGTTTAATGAACCTTGTCTAATTTAATCTCATATCCATCCTCTATGGTTGGAATTGTTTTGCTTCTTTTATGGGCAAAAAAAAAAAAAAAGGACCAAGACAGAGAGAAGCCATTAACTTGCTCAGGGTGACATAGGGAGTACAGTCTGATTCCAAAGCCCATTTTTCTTCTGTGGTACTGGTTACATCATGTGATTTTGTCAGTAGACATCCAAGGAAGAGATCTGACCATTACAGAACTGCTATGTCACAAGTCAAGCCAGTGAATAATGCTCAGGGTGTGGAACTCCATCCTGGAGCTGTCCCTTTAGCAGCAGCGGGACATAGTCTTGGATTTAGTTAGAACCCTTGGGTCCAAAGTTTGTTTCTGCTAAGTATTAATGTTGAGACACTGGGCATGCCCCTTAATCCCTCAATTTCTCCTTTGTTTGAATTCCTGTTCTACCTGCTTCTCTGAGCCAACGAGAGGCTCAGCGGAAAGCATGGCTCTTAGGGTTCAGGCTGCAAGGGCGATGTCCCTGTGCAAGGTTACTGTTACTCCCTCCAGTGGAAATTTCCTATTGTCTGTCATTCTTTGTTTATTTGGTTCACATCCCGGTCTCACCTCTGATACTAACCCTTGTCCACCTCTCCATTCACTAGATGGAACACAGATGCCTCCCTGCTCACTCACCTCCTGCATGGGGACAAAGAGGGCCCCTGGGGAGTAACAGGTGAAACTAGGGAAGTTGGATTGCTGACAGCACAGCCTGCTGCTCAACTCAGCTAATATTCTCTTGTTTCCTTTCTCTCATATTGATTGAGAAAGATCAGTCTCTCATCCACTAGTGTGCTCCTCAATTGGCCACAGCAGCCAGGGCTGGGCAAGGCTGAAGCCGGGAGCCAATAACTCAATTTTGGTTTCCCACGTGGATGAGAAACTACTTGAACCATCACCTGCTGCCTCTAATTGGAAATGAAGAAGCCAGGAACGACAGTATGGAATGCAGGTGGTGTTTTAATTGCTATGCCAAGCGGCTGCCCCTGAGCTAGATTTCTTGCAGCTAAAACTCAGGAGGAAAGCACCTCTATGCTCATGTCTGACACTTAGAATCCAACCAGCTTTCAATTTTGAAATAAACTGACATAATTCTGTAGTGTCTCAGCTGACCTTGTGAATCAAAAGCCCTGCATTCAAAGAATAAACAGTCCTTGTAGGACATGGGATTTCCAATTAGGGTTTCGGCTCTGACCAAAGTTGTTAAAGTTGAGTGGGAATGGGACTCGCGGAACTTTAGTGCGGCTGTCACAAGTTTCTGTACTATCCCCCAGCACTCATTCTCACTTTGGGGCCAGAGGCTGAAGGAAGGAATGTCTTGAATAAACCCAACCAAGTACAGACACTGAGCTTCATGCAACACTCAAGTCACTTACCTCAACTTCCTTTTCAGTGAGTGGAGGGGCACTGTGAAAGGGGGAAAAAACACACAAATGAACTTTATCCAACCTATTAAATAAACCAAAAGGCAAATGAACAGTCAGCCGACCACATGTTCCCGGCCCTGGGTAGACAGAGTTGGTGAGAAGGAAAAGATGCAGTATTCTTCCGTTTGCTCTACCTGGCAGCAAGCTCTGACCCCCGTGGAGACCGGGGTCAGGTCAGAAACCCTGGGTCCCAGGTCAGCTTGTGACTTTGGGTACACCATTTAATCTCTCTAGGCCCTGATTTGCTCATCTATAAAATTGGAATAGTGTAATTTATCCTGCAGAAGTGTTACAAGAAATGTATGCATATATATACGAATATACGTATACATGTGTGAGTACCAGGACAGTCAGGCCTCCATACACACATGTTCTATATCTAGAGATCTGCCCAACCACAGGTCAAAAATATTTAGAAAAAAACTGCATTTGTACTGAACAAATACAGATTTTGCTATTTCTTAAGGTAACTGTCTGCCTAAAAGGTTGCTTAGGTGTTACAAGTAACCTTGAAATGACAAAGTAGACAGGAAGAAGAGGGTAGGTTCTAAGTCAGTGCTATGCCACGTGAGACAAAGAACTTGAGCATCTGTGGGGTTTTGGTCCTTACAGGGGGTAAGGGGCTGCAGAGGTCCCATCCCCCATGGTTACTGAGAGCCTACTGCAGAACCATTCAGTGAGTAGTCAAGAAACGCTGGCTACCATTTTGATGAACTCCCAGGCTTGTGCTGAGTACTTCGCAGACTCATGTAAGATTTGGGGAATGACTACATCTGCAAAGCCACACTCTCCTGCCTCTGTTGATGCTGACAGAGGTACAGGTGGGCCAGGGGAGAGAAGGCAGGAAGGCATAGCCAGAGCCCTGCTGCACAGCGAGACCGTCTGATGACCAGAAAGCTTTGGCAGCACAGAAGGGTCTTTGAGAGGTTCCTCATCTCGGGGCCGTTCCCACAGCCAGACCTTTCCAGGGGCACACCTGTTCTGCTGCCTCTGTCTTTGCAGAGACTGCAGCTGACCCCCTCCTGAAACCCTGGCAATGTAAATAACGCAGGAGCCCTATCCCATGTGGGGGTCTGACAGCATTGCTGCAGGCTTGGCAACAGCTCTCGCCATCAATCAACTGTGCAGGAAACACAACTTCCTCCCTCCAACGGGTGTGGAGGGACCCCGAGAGCAAAGGTAGGGGTCAGTCATTCTGCCAGGAGCTGGTTCTCACTCCCGCTGAGGGACTGTGAGAGCTTCCTGTCAGGATGAGGCAGCAGGACCCCGTGGCCCCCAAGTCAGCAGAGCACGGAGCACGGGATAAACAACAGCCAAGATGTGCAATGCTTCCAGTTCTTGTCCCGGCCCCACCCAGGAGGCCCTTTCCTCTGAGGGAGCTCAGAGCTGTCACCCAGAGCACACACATCCTGTTCAAATGATTTACCCGCTCCCACTGACTCCTGGGTTTGTTTGGACAGTATGTGAAATTTACATTCTCCCTTAGTGATTAACCAAACTTATGTTTCTATTTGAATGACTCACATTCTGCTCTTTTGTTATACAGTACAGTCACCATTTAAAAAAAAATTTTTTTTAACTGTGAAGGCTCAGTGGTGTGATTTTGGCAACGAAGCCACCTGATGTGCTACTATGCCAGCTGCTTCACCCTGCAGACTGGTCGTGGTGCCCTGCAAGCAGCCTGCTCTTGGTAGTCTCTGTCAAGTTGCTACCAGGTGACTTTCCTCCCCCCCCCCCGGTGCTCCCTCCCACCTCCATCCACTCCAGCCTCCTTTTCTTGCTAAAGAGATCCTCTTCTTTATGACTGGGTTGTCACAAACACCAGAGATCAACCAGTAGTAGTAGACATGTTCTATACACTGGGGGTGCTCATTTGTGACTTCCGTGAGGTGAGCTGTCTCCCCCTGCACCATTCTCCAGCTAAGGAAGCAGGCAGCTTCTGACTTACTTCTAGCACTTTTCTCTCATACAGTATCTGGTCACTAAGTCCTTCTGAGAACTGTGCAATGAGTCCATGTCTTAGGTGATTACAGTGTGGCATTTGTACAATCACACTCACTGGGAACAACATGTTCTCGTTTCCTATTTCCACCCAAACCAGGGATCTCTGTTGGGCCAGACTGCTCCTCCTAATGACTGCTCTCACCACACAGGTATCCAGGTTGCTGGGCCTGCAGGCACCTGCCCCATCCCTCTCTTCTCTCCAACTCTCCAGTTCTGTTGTATGTGAACACTGCCCTGAATCCCTTGCATACATGATCTCATTTTGCCATTGCTGCACCTTCCCATAACAGAACCCTTAGGACCCCTGTGCTACGGGTGCTGGAGCCAAGACTCAGGGGCAGAGGCATTTCCTCTGTAGTAGGGGAGGTAGTCTGGTAGATTTTCCAAGAAACCCTGCGTGTGGTTCCCATCTCTGGAGAAATCTGAGATGTAGACCCTTCCACCTGCAGGGAACTGATATAGCTGGGATTGGAGCTCACATCTGCCCACCACCCCCTGCTGCCATAGCCTCTTGTGAGCCTCATGCCTCTCACAGCAGAATCACCTGTCAACTGTACCTGCTGTGTGAATCAGAAGCCCCTCAGCTTAGCCCATCACTAATCTTTTGATCTTTAAATGTGTCACCTCTACATGAATCACTGGAATCTGACCCTCGTAGGGTGGAAAATCCAGATTGGTGCTTCTGTGTCCTGATGAATGTAACACAGGAACCATCCAATTCAGGGTATTCCACAGCCCACACAGTGATTTTACCTTCCAGGAAGAGACTTGTGGACTCGCAGTTTGCGCAGCAGAATGTCAGAAATGTTGGGCATGACCTCCAGGCCACCCTTTGACTCCTCTTCCTCAATAGCTGGCGAGAGTTCAGAAGCGGGCCCTGGGGAGAAAAAGGTGTAGTTTTTTTTTTTTTAATCAAATGTACATTTAAAATCAGCACTATTGGTGGCTAGCTTCAGAGGGAAGGAAAAGGCTAACTTTTATAAGCCTCCAGTTCTGTGCCAGGGCCTTGTGATTGCTCACAGTAACCAATGAGCTGGAAATTATCTCATTTCACGATGAGGAATGCAAGGCCCAGCAAGATTAAGCAATGTGCTGATTATCGACCTAGTGAATGGTACAGGTAAACTGTGAGCCAAGGTTCATCTGTCCTAAATTCAGTGTTCTTCCCCTAGCTACTGGAAGCTGATTGGCTACAGAATCTGAAAAATAAACAACAACAAAAAAGGTTTTTTTGGCCATATTCTTAGGAGCTCTGAAAGTATTCTTCCTTAAATTCAGAAAGTTCTATCTCCTATGTCCTACCTAGATATCAGTATCGGGCTCTATATTCCCTTAGACAGGAACAGAACTGGAGAAGTTCCAGGATAAAGCTAATCTCATCAGCTTTTTAAAAAACAGATCCTGGAAATACAGATGCCTTCTAGTTAACAAAGTCACTAAACAGCCTTTTGTTACTTCCTGAAACCATGTCATTTCAGTGCCCTGATAGAATAAAGAACAAGCCAAGTAAAATGACAATATTTACAATGGTGTGAAAGCAATACACACTCAGTAAAATCCCATTTTGACTTCTGACATTCTCCCAGGCTTGGCAGCTGTGTGGAGCGATACATCTCTGATGCTAGCTAGTAGCAGTTACACACTGTTTCCAGTTATTCCTGGGAGCACGAGGGCAAGAACCTGTCCTCACAGTTGTGCTGCTGGTGGGACAGGTGCAATAAATGCATTTTCTACCAGTGACATTTTTAACTGACAACGGGTTTCCCGGGACCGCACAGAAGCATAAGCTGAAGAGCATCTGTGTCCCCTTACCCAATCTTTCTCCTGTTTGAAGACAGCCCTTAGGCCTTTCTGAAACATTTCTTCCCCAGGCTGTATTTTTCTAGTTGCTCACTAAGGTTTACTATGGTCTCTAGACACTATCCCCCTAATGCCTTGAATTCTGGTGTGTTGCTATCCCACGGACGCAGATGTGGTCTATCTAAACGAGGTTTTAGCACAGGACGGCACTGGGCAAATATCTCTGGCATTGATGATTGTTAATCATGCAGCACACTTGCTATGCCTTTACGGGCTCGTGGCACATTTAGAGTTCAGTAAAAACCTCAGTGTCATCCTGTACAGCGAGTACTTTCCATGTGCACACAGGATGTTGTGTTTACTCATGTTTTAGTGGCTCTCATGCGGTCTGGTCCAGCAGCTTCCCAACCTGCTCAGTGATGTTCTGAGCCAGGGTAACAGTCAGGTCTGTAGGCATCATTGTGGCAATAGACGTGGAGCCAAGATCAGGCACTATATGCGGAGAGACCATGTGGGAAGGAGAGGAGCTAGTCTTGTAGTTTGGCTCAAGGTGACATGTGTTTAAATACATTTAGATTTCCAGTAACATGAGTGTGCTCCTGAGTTCCAGGTAATTGAGGTATCCTGGCAAAGTCATCTGTTGGACAGGGAGCAGTGAACAATCCTGTGTGGGATTAACATTGGACTCAGTGTTCATTGAGCTGCTTCTCACCTCTTGCGTCCTATCCTGATCATTGTTGCTTTCTCAGCACAAAACAAGTGGTAAGTAAGCCCTGTGATGTCTCTGGCTTCACTCTACCCAGCAGTGTCAATTAAGAGGAGGACTACTGGGAAGCTACATGATTGACTGAAGCATATGAAATCTAATGATCAAATGAAAGCCATATCAGGGGCTTTTGCCCAGAAAAGTCCCCTACATTGAGCCAAGGCAGGGCGGGGTTGGATGAATAATTAGATCTGGCTCTGGTAAAATACTTTCTAAAGAGCCAGCTGCCTTCCTGTAGAACACAGCCCAGTTAACAATAAGAAATAATTCAAATCCAAACACACACCAACAACTCATCTACAGGAAAAGCAAATGTCTCTGAAGATAATGACAGAACAAGTAGGAAAAACTGCAGGGACTGTGCCCCGGGGAACTCCTCCTTCCTCCCGCACAGAGTCAGTGTGAAAGGAAGATACAGGAGAGACACTCTGACAAATGTGGCACCACAGCATGGGAAAGGAAGTAGAGTGGCTGAGCAAACAGCATGAGATGGAGCCGATGCAGAAAGCCCCTCTGGAAGAGAAGGTTCCCCATCCCACGTGCCAACACACTGATGAGAACAAACTGCCCATGCTGCCATTTTGCTTTTCTTATTGAGGAGGAAGGGAAGGGAAAGACAGAATGATGGCACAGTATCCTATCAGAGCTGAGGACCTCCAACAATATGAAGGGATTTACCAGAAAGGGAGACCGAAAATGAAATTAATGGAACAATCCCCTCTTATGGAATGGCTGGCAGAGAAACACAAAAAGTCCCTGTGGAAGCTGCCCGCCCTGATGCTGAAAAGTTGCCTCTCAGACAGACTGCTGCGATGGTGTCCATCTTTCTCTTTCCTTACTTTGATGGGAAAATTGTATCAAGTCTGGATAATAAATACTACAACAGGCTGTCTTTACAATTCTACTCTAAGCTAGCGAAACAATCTAAGATATATTACTTGAATTTATCCAAGGGAGCAAGGTGTATTTCCATTTGGGGACAACAAACTCAGATTCTGGACTATGAGCAAAATTACAGAGAAAGCGGAAACCAAGTCTATCAGCAACAGCACTCACGGCCCTCTGTGAGCATCCTCTGTCTTCCCCAACCACCCACCCCAGCAGTAACAAAGCAGACATGCAAGCCCTGGATGCCCAGCTGAAGCACTGCAGGGCAGACAAACAGACCTCAGAAGAATGCAGGAAGGAGTCTGAAAATTAACCTATAAAATATATCTGGATAAAAAGAGAATACAAGTAGAAACACCCAGATCAAGAGGAAATGAAACAAATGGCAATGGCAACTTGACAAAAATACTATGCACAAAAGAGGAAAGGAAGGAAGGAAAAACGGAACCTTGTAGGAGACAGATGTCAGGATAGAAGCAGCCGCAAGAAACACACCAAAAATACAAAAATGCATTTGTGTGCAAAATATACACCACAAATGCTCTGACTCTAGGAAAACCTAGAACCTTCCAAAAAAATGAGCACAAAAAGTCAGAGGTGACAACAAGGTCATTGAAAGTTGGAAGAGAATTGCCGCTTTAGGAAACAATCAATATAACAATCCAAAAATCAAAAATATAGAAAACCAGTGTCTTGGAAAATCATGAAATGCAGCAGGTTTGGCCTCAAACTGAATTAAGGAGTGTAGGAGAGATGGGATGGCCACAGATATGCAAAGAAGGAAAGAAAAGTTGGCATCAACAGAGCTGGAGTAACAGATATGGAGTTGAGATGCTTTCAATGAACTGATGGAAGTTGGAACAAGACCCAAATGGGACACAGCAAGTGTCCAAATACATAACAGGTAAGGAAGAATGCTTCCTTCAGTTGCAGGGGAAGGTATACTGTGCTGTTAAAAAAAAAAAAAGCTTCTCTAGTGGTTTTCCTCAGAGAAAAAGTCAAACACTTTCAGGGGGCTAAGGGGGCAAGGACAGCATCACAAAGGTCTAAGAGGAAGGGGTGCCGCATGACTTAATAACCCAGCAAGCTGTTCTTCAGAAAGACACCATGGTCCAACATGCTAAGTTCAGGGAACACAGCTCCCCTAAGCCGTTCAGGAAAACTATAGGATAATAAAATCCAGCTAAATAAGATGTAAATCAAAGTAATAAACTAGTTACTGGTGAGCAGGGAGTAGGGGCAGAGACCAGTGGGGAGCAAGAGATCCTGTATGTGTAAGTTTACAGCCAGATAGCTGTGGGAACCACGGTGACCGCAGAACACTGTGCCGCAACCTCGCTGATGGCAGCAGGAGGAACTAGTGTTGGCACAGGTGACGTAGGAGATATCAGAGACGACCTGAAGGTGGAGGAGATGCTGCCACTCTCCTTTCCCTGAAGAATGGCCAGATCTTCATTTTCTGGGTTCTTGATACTCTGCCATCAGGGCCCCATGTTCTAGAAGGACTGCCCTGCCTGGCAGCAGCTAATTCCTCAAATTAGGAAACTATTGTTCCTTCAGCTGAGCCTCAGCCTTCACCTTCATCAAACTCACACACCAAGGTAATATTTCCTTTGCCCTCAAATGGTCCCAGGGCAATATATTAGAAAATGAGAGACACACAACCACCCCCTCTATAACACAGAGCCAGCCAACATCATTCCTGCTGTGCCGTCCTAAACTAAGAGTACCTACATAGTTCGCCCCTTTTTTTCCCATGAGAATCCCAGCAAAGGCTTCAGGCCATGCTCCTGCCTCCCTGCTCCCACCTCAGATCACCTCTGGTCCTTTCCCAGGTCCCCTGTGTGGCATGTCATGCCTCCTGTCTTTAGAAACACAAGAGTGTAGAGCCTGGCACCGTGGCCTAGCAGCTAAAGTCTTCACCTTATGCATACCAGGATCCCATATGGGTGCCAGTTCTAGTCCCAGTAGCTCCACTTCCCATCCAGCTCCCTGCTTGTGGCCTGGGAAAACTGTCAAGGATGGCCCAAAGCCTTGGGACCCTGCACCAGTGTGAACCTGGAAGACTCAAGAAGAGCTCCTGGCTCCTGGTTTCAGATCGGCATAGCACCAGCCCGTTGCGGTCATTTGGAGAGTGAATCATTGGACGGAAGATATTTCTCTCTGTCTCTCCTCCTCTCTGCATATATCTAACTTTGCAATAAATCAGTCTTTTTAGAAACACACACACACACGAGTGTAAACCTCTTCCTTCCTGACAGTGGACCTCTGTGTTTATTGTACTGGATTTAAGCAAACACCAGCTACAAAATGTAAAAGCCACCCAGATGCAAGGCAAGCAATGTAAAAAAAAAAAAAAAAAAAAAAAACCCACACAAATTGCCTCAAAGATTCCAAACCCTTGTGCTGCTCATAACTTAAAA